ACCTGAGCCAAAGGAAGCCTCTTAACTGACTGAGCCACCCTGGCTTTTGAAAAGCCTGGAAAGTTTCATTTAAAATGGAGGTGGGAGGGATGTCAAAAGGTCCTTTTGTGTTTTTTTCCATATATTTTAGCCCAGTTGGAATTTTTAATTAAATAGCATGGATTTCTTTGAAAACAAGAAAAAACAGTGAAACAGTACCTAGTAAGAACTGTCATTTATCAAACATTTCCATTGTGGCAGGTATAGTATAGAGCACTTTTTCTTTAACAGTCCCACAAAGTTGTCATAATTTGTTCCCATCAGACAGATGCAGAAAGTGAGGTTGTGGGTGGGGCGCAATGTATGTAATGGGCCCAGGCTTACTGTGTGTGTGTTCAGGGGCTGAGCTTAAACCCAGTCTGTCTGGCTCCAGAGCCTCTCTTTTCCTAAGTCACAAGAGCTGTGTTATAAGTCAGCTCCTGACTCTTAGGCTTCTGGTTCCAGGCACCGTTAGTAGTCTTTTTTTTTTTTTTTTTAAAGATTTTATTTATTTATTTGACAGACAGAGATCACAAGTAGGCAGAGAGGCAGGCAGAGAGAGAGGAGAGAGGAGGAAGCAGGCTCCCTGCTGAGTAGAGAGCCCGACACGGGCTTGGTCCCAGGACCCTGGGATCATGACCTGAGTGGAAGGCAGAGGCTTTAACCCACTGAGCCCCCCACGCGGCCCCTGTTAATGGTCTTTACGAGAGTATCCACGTCCTTAGGGACAGTGGGTTGGAGTATGGCGCCCGGGGCCCTTGTTGAATGCCGCCCGGTTGACAGTGCCGACTGTCCTGGCGGTCTGGCTTGCAGAACTTGCTTGCAGCCCCGCTGTTACTAGGACAAAAACAAGTTGTGAAAGGCTTTTCTCTTTGGTCGGGGGTTCTGTTCTGTAAACCCCTGGAGATAAAAGAAATGCAACTTTCAAACTGCAGCATGATGTAAAGTAATACACACTGTAGTGTATAGTTGTAGGATTGTATTAAACCTAACTTGGCCCAATGGGAAATGACAGAAATGGTGTTGGGTTTAATGACTGATTTCCATTTAAAATGGTATACTCATTAATATAAATATTTGGTGCATTTGGTATTGGGATGGCCATTTCAGAAACATTTAGAATGAGTATTCTTTTTTTTTTTTTTTTAAGATTTTATTTATTTATTTGACAGAGAGAGAGAGAGAGAGAGAGTACAAGTAGGCAGAGCGGCAGGCAGAAGGAAAGGGAGAAGCAGGCTTCCTGCTGAATGGGGAGCCCGATGTGGGACTCAATCTCAGGACCCTGGGATCATGACCTGAGCCGAAGGCAGCTGCTTAACCGACTGAGCGACCTAGAATGAATATTCTTTTTTTTTTTTTTTTTAAGATTTTATTTATTTATTTGACACAGAGAGAGAGAGATCACAAGTAGGCAGAGAGGCAGGCAGAGAGAGGTGGGGGTCGGGGAAGCAGGCTCCCTGCTGAGCAGAGGGCCCGATGTGGGGCCCAATCCCAGGACCCTGAGATCATGACCTGAACCAGAGACAGAGGCTCAACCCACGGAGCCACCTAGGCGCCCCTAGAATGAATATTCTTGATGGCTTGCTAACTGCCGGCCTTCACATGCTTTGGTCCCAAACAGGGAGAAAGTGACTAGGTTCTCTCCCGGAAAGAGATTCCTGCCCCTGCCCTCTCTGGCCTCAGCTGGGATCTCTGCCATCTGTGAAGACAGGACAATTTTTCTGTCTTAAAGGAAGAAATTGCTGCTTCCTGATCGGGATTCCAGACCGGGAAGACTAGCGTAGAGCTGTATAAGCGCACTTAGATTTCCAGCATGGCAGGTCCTGTGTGGATTCTGCACCATGAGACAAGCTACAGGCCACTTACTGCCTGTCTCTCGCTCCTCTCCTGCTCAGGGGACTCTCCCACCCTCTGGTTGGCAGTAAATTAGGGCAGAGCCCAAAGACCATTGCCTATTTACGGTCATAGGGACACAGTATGACTTAGATACTCTTTGGAAATGTTATCCCAAAATACCACAAAATGAGAATTTACCTCATGACATGAAAATAAAATGAATTCTCTTTTTTCCTTTTTTTTGGGGACCATTTGTTCATTCATTCGGCAAATATTTTCTTAGCCCTGCTGTGTGTCAGGCCCAGAGCTGAGCACAGAGAATACAAAATGCGTTAAGACATGACCCTAGCCTTTGGAGATCTGTGTCTGTCGTGAAAAAAGTGGGAAGACAGGCAACCAGATAATCGCAGTGTATTTTGTAAGACCAAACTAGGAGCTAGGGCAGCAGCTGGTGGGAAGTCCCCATTATGTACTTGCTGGATGAATAAACATCACCAAGGGGGAGGTGTCTTCAAAGATGACTTCCCCGAGAAAGTGGTGTGTGAGTTGGGTCTCAAAGGGAGTGGTAAAAGCGATACGATAGTCCTGGGTTTGTAGTCTAAGAATGCTGAAAATGAGGAAAAATCGCAAATCTGTATGGCTTCCGAAGTTCCATTAGAATAAAGCCTTTATAACAGATTTGCCTGTATGTATTCTATAATTTTTTTTATTTAAAATACCGGAGGGGCGCCTGGGTGGCTCAGTGGTTAAATCCTCTGCCTTCGGCTCAGGTCATGATCTCAGGGTCCTGGGTCTCAGGGTCCTGCATCGGGCTCTCTGCTCAGCAGGGAGCCTGCCTCCTCCTCCTTTCTCTCTCTGCCTGCCTCTCTGCCTACTTGTGATCTGTCTGTCCAAAAAAAAAAAAAAAAAAAAAATCTTTAAAATACCGGAGGGGTGCCTGGGTGGCTCAGTGGCTTAAAGCCTCTGCCTTGGGCTCAGGTCATGGTCCCGGAGTCCTGGAATTGAGCCCTGCATTGGGCTCTTTGCTTCTCCCTCTCTTTGCCTGCCTCTCTGCCTACTTGTGATCCCTGTCAAATAAATAAATAAAATCTTTGAAAAATAATAATAAAAAAATAAAATATTGGAAAGAACCAGATGGGAAAGGAACTGGGAATTTTTCTCTCAAAGCTTCAACAAATACCACATGTGAATTGCATGCTCCCTGTCCTTTTCCCCTTCATCTCATCTCTCTCTCTCTCCCATGTCTCTATGTGCCTGGCAGCCTCATTGTTCTCCTTTGGAACACTGATCTCTGATAAGAAAAAAAGCTCCCCATTACTGGGGAAAACTAAAAGGAGCAAACTGTCTGTATCTCCACCTTTGAAATTGGTTACTATTGATTGATCCAGAAGGAGAGAGTCAACTTTTTCTTCAGGTTTTGTTTAGGTATTTTTGTGAATAGACGAGAACTGCAATTATTCATATGTAGGAAGTAACATTCTTGGGGCGCCTGGGTGGCTCAGTGGGTTAAACCTCTGCCTACGGCTCAGGTCATGATCTCAGGGTCCTGGGATCAGAGCCCTGCATTGTGCTCTCTGCTCAGCAGGGAGCCTGCTTCCCCTGTCTCTCTCTGCCTGCCTCTCTGCCTACTTGTGATCTCTCTTTCTCTGTCAAATAAACAAATAAAATCTTAAAAAAAAAAAAGAAAGAAAGAAAAGAAAGTAACGTTCTTGTATCCCGGCTTTTAGTTTCAACAAGCCACAAAATTATGTTGTAAAATATCATTTAAAAACAGTGTAATTTCCACATTCTGTAAGACTGTTGCTAATAATTTGGTGCAGCAACATTTCTGCAAAATACATGCTTACTGAAATGTTTAATGGTGTGAAGTTTGCAACATAGAGGAAGGTGGGTGGATTCTGACTGGGTAGTCAGATTCTGTTTCCTTCATAAATTTGCTCAATTGTCATCTGAAACCCATAGTTCACATCCTTTGTCACAAAAATATTTGGCCAAATATAGATGTCAGAAAAGCTGACTACACACACTACGTGACCTTCGACACTTCCGCAGATGATCTCCACGTGCTGCAACAGTGCTCTGGAGGAGGGCTGGTGGTTGGAGGTGGGAGCAGATTTAAGGTGGTTGTTGTTGGGGTGGGGTTTTGGTGGTGGTGGTTGTTTTTCTGTTTTTTGTTTTTGGTTTTTTGGTTTTTGTTTTTTTTTAAAGACTGCTGCTTCTGAGGACTGTCATAGTAGGTTCCCACCCTCTTGTTGCCGTGGCATCCAGAGCAACATTGTTATGGCTGTGATGAATCTAAGAGATGGAGTTTTTAAAAATCTTAACCTGTCCAAGAAATGCACCTTTACAAAATAAGTTACCTTGGGAGGCCATACCACTGCTCTAGGGAGTGACGTTACCGCGTTACTGCTCACTGTTACTACTGCTCACTGTTACGGGCGCAGTGTTCCTCACTGGGTTCCTTATCTCCGTGATCAGATGAGACCCCAAGGCCGTGAAGGTTTGTCGTCTTGAGAGACATTGTTGTAAAGTGGAAAGAAAGATGCTAAAGCTAGCAAGCAAGTTAGTATCAGCAGAAGGAGTAAAATTATTCTTACCTAAAATATATATTTGGAAAATACAGCATTCAGAGGCACTTGGGGGGGCTCAGTCTGTGAGCGTCCAAACTCTTGATTTTGGTTCAGGGCATGATGGTGTCGTGAGATCGAACCCGGTGTCGGGGCAGAGTCTGCTTGGACCCTCTCCCTCTGCTCCTCCCCCATTTGCACTCTCTCTTTCTTTCAAATAAATAAATAAATAAATAAATAAATAAATAAATAAATAAATAAATAAATAAAATCTTTTAAAAAGGAAAGAAAAATACTCATTTGAACAGTACATCCTGGCGTATTGGTGTTGGCATGATCGAGGCAAGTCCCCCAGCGTGATGAGACTGCAGGGTTCTTAGAGCCTCCCCCAAGGAGCATGTTCAAGAATGTAAAGCGAAAGGAAAACGACGGCTGTCCTCATTTATGAAGTCATCCCAGATAGCAGCCTCTGACCCTGGAGCCCGCTTTCCATATCTGCACTTCCTGTAGTGTTCTCTGCGGGAAGGGTTCAGCTTCTCTAAGAGAGGCTTTTCTAATACTTTCCTTTTGTTTCCTTAGGTATTTCTGGAAAAAGCCAGCTTCTCTTTGCACTGGTCTTCACAACTCGTTACCTGGACCTTTTTACTTCATTTATTTCATTGTATAATACATCTATGAAGGTATGGTATGGCATCCAATTGGAATGCATTTTATCCATAATTCGTGGGCCTGTGGGAACTATTAAGTTTGTGTCAGTTGTGTACTTAGACATCTTCTAGAATAATGTCTAAACATGCTGTTCTCGACCTAAGCACTTTTAGGCCACCTTGTACATAGAAGTGGGAAGAGCGTTATCATTAAGCGCATTTTCTGTTTCAGAGGAGTATCTGTTTAATTAAAGTGCTTTGCAGTTAGAGATTTTTTAACCTTAAGTTCCTTGAGTATGATAAACTTCTAAAGCTCTTGATAACCCTGTAAGAAAGAGGGATAACTATTATGTTTTCAAGCCGTGCGAAATTACAGACTCCCTGGGAGACCCAGCAGGGTGGCTCAGCATGAGGAATGAAAGCTGGGGCTCCTCGCTGCAGTACCTCGTTTCGCTGTTGTGGGAGGGGCATATGTAGGCTTCTACTTCTTTTCTTTCTTTTCCTGCGAATTCCATGTCCTGTAAACTTCTTTGTGTGCCATCTTTGTTACTCCTTCCATGCCTAAATAACAGCTGTACCATAACTTGTTTAACGTGTCTCTAAAACCTTTTAGCTTGTCCTAAGCGTTAGTATCCGTGGCTTCGGTGTCCTTCTGTTTTTTCAGAATCCACATGAAAACCTATAGTTACTAAAACGCAGGGTGTTTGCGTACCACCTCACATCTTGTGGACCCGAGGGGGCGCATGCTTCCCGCTCGCCGAGGCCTCGGTTTCGCACGGTCCTTGAACTAATACTGAGCACCCAAAGCGCCGGGCACTTCCCTAGCGCTGAGGACGGGGCCGCAAACAAGCAGAAGACTTTGTGTCTGGCTGGGGAGAGTAGACTGATCATCCCAGTACTCAGTGGGTGACGGCAGTTTGCGATGGGTGCCGGGAGGGGGGAGTATGGCACTCTCAGAGCATGAAAGAAAGGCATCTCCTTTCTTTCATTCATTCGTTCTGCACAGCTTTCTGAGCACCCGCGTGCGGGGCGGTGCTGTAGGCACTGGATTATTGTAGGCCCGCTGAGGGTGTCACGTTTAACCTGAGGCCTCTTGGTGTTGTACTTACAAAGCATTTTTTATAAGCACAGGTCAGAGTAGACAAAGCCATATTTGGGTCTGTGGTCTTTACTGAGAAACAGACTTGAGTTACCCAGAATCATTTCATTCTTCATCACTAAGTGACCGGAGCCTCGTGTCCAGGAAATAATGAGCCTGCTTAACACGGATAGGTCCCTGCTTGCTGTCCAGGCAAGTTAAAACTGCCAGTATTACAAGCATGTGAGCAAGAACCTCCTCCGTGGCCCTCAGGATACTTGGCTTCCAGAAGAATCCTTCTTGTGGTTCTGGTTTTCCAGCATGTCCTGAAAATCTGAGGAGTGAGAGCCAAATTTTATGTCCTCATTGCTTTGACTTTAAATGCCAAGCACAGGGAGAGGGGGAAAGCAGCTGCTTACTCCCGTGGTCGCCTAAGCCTTTATGGACAGAATCTTGGCCGGCCATGTTCCAGGCGCTGGGGAGGGACCCCTGGCTATATCGCATGCCTTGGCTGCTTGTTGTGCTGGAAGAGACTCTGTGTAAATGTATATGTATTTTATTGATACATGTAGATTATATGTTATTTTATTCATATCCATGTATACATATATTTGTATGTTGAGAGAACTCTAACAATATAAGGTGTTAATGTCAATTTTTTTTTTTTTTTGTAGTTTGAGTATGACCAACAACTTTAATACCTTGCCAACTATTTATTTGCAAATATAACTCCATGATGAGGTGCTAGGGATAGTTTAGTATCTTTACTTTGTTTTTAAGCATAGGAGGGCTTGATGATTGCTCTCATTTTCCTGATAAGTCATTGGCCTAGACGTCTTCATTAAGTTTCATTAAGTTTCAATAACTTTTCTGAAGGAGTAGTACCGGGTAGCTCGACTAATATCCCACTTGTTTCCGTTCAGAGACTCAAACGGCCCTTTGGTTCTTGGGCCTAAAATTCTGCATTCTGAAAATTGCTGTAATTTCAGAATAACAGACTTTTCCTTTGGGTCACGTGACTATATGGTGTTTGACCTTTTGAATATGAAAGAACATAACTTGACTGTAAGCCTTTGAACACTGCACTGCTATGTGAGCTCCCTTGTAGGTGGCAGTGTTTGACAAGTTATCCCTTACTTTTGGTTTTGCTTTTGGTATGCTGCCAGACAAAATTTCATAGAATGATCTTAATGTTCTGTATTAAAGTAACACAGTGTAGGTAAAACTGATCATTGTAAAGTTAAACGTGAGTTACATTGTGTCTTTTCTTTAGAAAAGCAGGAGCTAGTGGCGCCTGGGTGGCTCAGTCGGTTAAGCCTCCAACCCTTGGTTTCAGCTCAGGTCATGATCTCATGGGTTGTGAGATTTACTCCCCACTTGTTGAAGTGTCTGCTGGAGATCCTCTCTCTCTGCCCCTCCCCTCACTCTTTCTTGCTCTCCCTCCCTCTCTCTCAAATAAATAAATACATCTTAGAAAAGAAAAGGGGCACCTGGGTGGCTCTGTCCTTAAGCTTCTACCTTCGGATCAGGTCATGATCCCAGGGTCCTGGGATGGAGCCCCATCATTGGGCTCCCTGCTCGGAGGGAAGCCTGCTTCTCCCTCTCCCACTCCCCTTGCTTGTGTTCCCTCTCTCACTGTCTGCCTCTGTCAAATAAAAAGGAGAAGAAAAGCGCTGGCTAAGAAATACCCTCATGCCGGAGGGAAGTGTACTGGTTTTGAACTCCACTGAACTTGGTGGTTTTTTTTCCCTAACCTGCTATCTAATAGTTGTTTTTTTGTTTGTTTTTTGTTGTTGTTGTTGTTTTTTAAGTGAGATTAAAAATACATTCTTTGGCAGTTTCTTATAAAGTTAAAGGTACACTTTTAACATATGATCCAGCAATCCCATTCCCAGGTACTTACCCAAGAGAAATGAAAAGTTCAGTTCATACAAATGCGTGGGCATAAAGGTTCATAGCAGCTTTTTCCGCTGTTCCCCAAGCTGACAGCAATTCCAGCCCACCTGTCCGAAGCTAGTGTGTGGACGAACACACTGTGGTTCACCTGCACAGTGCAGTCCTCCTTTCACTGCTGTAAAAAGGAACCAGTCATTAATACACGCAATGATGTGGTTGCATCGAGAATGCATTATGGTACTTGAAAGAAGCCGGTCTTACAGGGACATACTGTAGGATTCCATTTATTTGGTATTCTGGAAAAGGCAAAAACTGCAGGGACCAGGAATATATCAGTTATCCAAAAAGGAAAAAAAAAAAAAAGGAGAAGATCAGTTATCTCCAGAGGTGGGGCCTCGGGGAATGGCTTGACTACAGAGGGGCAGCATGAGGGAGGTTTCTGGTGGGAGGGTCAAGTGATAGGACTATTCCGTGTCTTGATTGTGGTGGTGGTTATATGACTAGTAGAACTATGTACTCCCAGAAGTGAACTTTATTGTATTTAAATTTTGAAATAAAGAAGCTAAGGAAAAAGATCTTGCTTTTGTGAACATGTGGATGCTGTAGAAAGCCAAGGCCGTTGGAGCCGTTGTAAAGTAAGGATGACCTGTGCTTTTCTTCTGTCCTTAGCTCATCTACATTGCCTGCTCCTATGCCACAGTGTACCTGATCTACATGAAATTTAAGGCGACCTATGACGGAAATCATGATACCTTCCGAGTGGAGTTTCTGGTGGTCCCTGTGGGAGGCCTCTCCTTCCTGGTCAATCATGATTTCTCTCCTCTGGAGGTTAGTTGAGAGGTTATTTAGGGAAACACTTGGGCTTGCAGGTAATGTGGGTGGTTCTGGTTTGTTTGGTTTCGCGATTTGGCAAGCTTCTGGTGCAGCATACACTATTTGGTGTAAATAAATCACAGACAGGCATTAAGCCCCCAGCTCTTTGGGCATCTGCTGACAGATTATTGCTGGATTCTCCTCCAGAGAATAAACCGACTTCTGTGGTAGCAAACACAGTGCCTTGCCCATCCCAGTGCTTGAAGAACATGGTCTTCTCTGCAGTCAGACCCAACTTTGTTTCTTCTTCACCTAGGGCTGTTGCACATTGATAACTGTGTGCCAATTCCCTAAGCAGTGTTGCTATATAGCAGGTGTGGAGGAAAAGTGGTTTGTGCGGTGCCCTGCACTCCTGGGTGCCTCGCCCTTCCCTTAGCGTCCTGGGGAAACTGCTGCTCATGGATTCAGAATGTTCCCAGGGCTACCTGCAAAGCTTTCTGTCGTCCGTGTGAATCACGTTGGGCAGAATGTTTGCATAATTACAGTTCGCATTACTTATCCCTTTGATTTAACCACACCAGAAAAGCCCAAAGACTAAGAAAGATGGTGGAAATATTGAGATAGTCTGTGAAGGAGACCAGCTGATAAGGAAAAGCAGCAGTGGGAGCATAGAAGGCCCTGTCAGCCTCGTGCCCCCTGACAGAGAGTACCCTGGATTCGGAGTGGAACAAGCTTACCCTGGAGAAACACATAGGTAGATTCACAGAAAATTGTACCGGGAAGGAAATGTTGGAGAGATGGGTCACGAAGAGTCACGGAGGCAGAGGTGTCCGGGTCACCTAGCTTGTCATTGGGAATGTGCCTCTTTAGTGTCACTCCCGTTTCTGAGATTTATTCTGTTTCGTACTCCGTTGTGCAGACTCCTCGCTCTTCGTGCTGCTCCACAGTAAAGCGGGAGTATTTCCTTTGAGCTCGTGGTGGGTGCTAGGTGCCGACTGAAGCCTCTGGTCTCTCTTGCAGATTTTGTGGACCTTCTCCATCTACCTGGAGTCCGTGGCTATCCTTCCTCAGCTGTTCATGATCAGCAAGACAGGGGAAGCGGAGACCATCACCACCCACTACCTGTTCTTCCTGGGCCTCTACCGCGCCCTCTATCTCGTCAACTGGATCTGGCGCTTCTACTTCGAGGGCTTCTTCGACCTCATTGCTGTGGTGGCCGGCGTTGTCCAGACTATTCTATACTGCGACTTCTTCTACCTGTACATAACAAAAGGTACCCCGGGCTGCCTCCTCCCTGCTTTGTTCCCACAGCCCCATGTTTCTAGGAGCTCCCTGGCCCAGCATGGTCCTAGTCTGGCACTACCTCATCAAGCACAGCTGGTTTCAGAAAAACATTTCCAAAAAAACACAGGGTTTTCAGCTTTTTTTCTTTTCTGTAGCTTTATTGTTTTTCTGTAATAGCACATTTTGATTATAAGAAATTTAATCTGCTTTTATAATTCAGAAAACAATCACCTGAAACCCTGCCACTCAGAGATGATCGTAGTTAATGTTTCGATAAACGTAATTCCAGATAGGTCTATGCATATATGTGTGTGTATGTGCATATGCACAGACACGTGAGTTCAACTACACATGCTGTTCTATAATCTGTTTTCCCCTATTCACAGTTTTTCAAGTCAGTAGATAGAAATCTACATAGTTTTCAATAGTCATAGAATATTTCATTATGTATATTATATCATAATTTACTTACTCAGCCCCTTGTTTATGGGTATTCAGGCTGTTACTGATTTTCTGCTATTAAAATCCAGTGCTTGGGGCTCCTGGGTGGCTCAGTTGGTTAAGCATCCAGCTCTTGATTTCAGCTCAGGTCACGATCTCAGGGTCATAAGATTGAGCCCCGGGTCGGGCTCTGCGCTGAGCGTGCAGCCTGCTTAAGATTCTCTCTCTCCCTCTGCCCCCACCCCCCAGCTTGCGCACACTCACTCTCTCTCAAAAAACAAAAACACAACAAAAACGGTGCTTAGATGAGTATCCTTGTGTATGTATATTTTCACTTTTATATGAATATAGGACATGCAGATGCCACAAAAATTTGATGAAAACTGTGGTCCTCATTTTTTAAAAAAAGGCGTATTAATGCATGTACACACAAATGTATGCCTATAGTTTTAGGGGATTCAGGAGCCCCTGTAACCCAACCACAGACTCAGGCTAAGAACCCTTGCTATACAGTATAGTTCCTCATGGTAGAATTGGTACCTACAGGGGGATATATATTTTCTCTCTTTTTTAACATCCCAAATTTCATAGACCTCTGTACGTATTAACAGTTATATTTTACTATATGTTGATTAGGGGAGAAAGTAATGAGAAGAAAATGTGAATTTAGTGACAGTTTCAGTCAAATTTGTGTTTCTTAAATTCAATTGCTGTGACATCAAGGCACATGAAGAAAATTCCAGTATATGAGTACGTGACATACTCATAGTTCAGGGGGCTTTTTTTATTGACACCAAAATCCAATAACTTTTGGTGCCAAAGACTTTCCTTGTGCCTTATTCTGTAGTGTCGTGAGTGTGACAGACCTCTAGGAACAGGAAGAAGGAAATGATCAGCTTGTCAAGACCAGTAACCTTTTGTTTTCTCTTCTTCTCTTTAAAATTCTAGTACTCAAGGGAAAGAAACTCAGTCTGCCAGCGTAAGTGCCAAAGACCGTCACCAGCATCTGTCCTTCAGGGTGCTCGGACAGAATTCTTACCACAGCAAAGGCACAAGATGCTTGATAACGGAAAATCAGAAACTTAACTCTTTCGTTGCAGATAGTGATCAGTGGCTCTGTAAGAACCCAGAGGAAAAGAACCAGAAGGTTTCTGTTTAATGCATCTTGCCTTATCTTTTTTTATTACTATGTACAAAGATTTTTTTACACAAAGAAACTTAATGCTGTATTAATAAATTCAGTGTGTAGCTTCAATTGGGGTAGTTCCAAAAGTGAAGATTTTGTGAGGAATAAGTGCAAACTTTTTTTTTTTTTTTAATTCTTTGAAACTCTTGATTCTTTGTGTCTGCAATGAAATTGTCCTCCTTGACAGTTGGTAGATTATATATTCTTCCATCTATCAAATTTGCATTCCACTATATTTATTTTTTGCCAAAAGATGAGTTATATTTGTTTGAAATCTGAGACACTATGTTCAATCTGGTCTATCTTCGTTCACATCTCTTCCCACCGAATGTGGAAATCCTTCCCTGGACGTCACAACACTACATGGAAGGCCGGTAAGGATGACTCACAAGCTTATGGTTTTCATTACCAAAATTTTCAGATCCTGAATGTAGATGGAGTCTCGTTTAAGAGTCACCAAAGGTGCCTGCCCCACTCTCTTGCTTAGAAGAGTGACTTTGAGATTGTTCCAGGGGTGTCCGAGAACTTGGGGGGCAGGGCTTCTGGGCCGCTTGCCGTCTAAATGTGGGGTGTGAGGGATATTAATGATCAGGTTGGATATAGGACTCTACTCCTCTGAGGACTGGAACACAAGTTAGTCACCTATCACTTGAATTAATAGTTCCGAAAGATGACTACAGCCATGTCCCTGCTCAGATTCAGAAGGGTTTTTGTATCACTTTCACGTGGTAAAATGATTTACATTTTTTTCTTAATTGGCAGCAACCAATTGCCATTCCTTATACTCTCTGATTTTTGTTTTGTTTTTACTGAGCTCTTGCATGATTTGTCTTGTGTTACCATCCTGAATAAACATTTTACTAAATGTAGAATAAATTGTCTTTTTTTTTTTTTTTTTTTTTTTTTTAATATGTGAATTAGGCTGTTGGAACATCCTATGTCAGGATGATTTTTTTTTTTCATTTTTCAATTGGCAACAGAAGCTCTATATGGGGCCGTAAACGTCTATTGTCCACAAATTAATCTAAAACTTTCTGTATTTTGAGGGAAAATTAGAATTTTTCCTCCTGATTTTGCCATTTTATTGATTTGCTACATTTTTTTGATTTGTGCAAAAGCATATGACTTTGTTTTTATGTGATGCACCCTAAATGTTAAAGTGTTGAATACTAATAGTGCTTACTACAAGAAGGATGTAGTATTTTTGCTTGCTGCATTAAAATATCTTGTGGAAGAAGGGAGCTAGATGGGTTTTATTTTTATCTAGTGTGTCTCTTAACATCTTTCTAAATTGGCAGTGTGACTGCATAGTTGAACCTCTTGTCTCGATCTCTCACCACCCCCCACCTCATGGTTGTCCTTTTGTGTATCTGTATCTTCCCAGCATTCTCGTCTCGGTTTAGTTTCTGTTTTCATCCTCCTTAAAAGATTCTTAGATCGTGGAGAAAGGGTGGGAAATCTCAGCATAGTGGAGCAGACTGTGACCCACACTGGAGGCGGGGTGGGGGCTCACAAGGTTTCTGTGCATGTAAATTAAACATGAGCTGGGATCATTGTGGGAGAGTACAATGCAGATGACAAGGATCTGGGACCTCAGCAGGCTGCCTGACTTTGGAAGTATCAGTGTCTTCTCTAGTCATTCTGCCCATGTAAAAGTGAAACTGGCTAAGGTGTTACCACCATTCTGTGGCCAACCAGGGTGACATCTTAATAAACTGGGTGGCCGAGTGGGATTGCGGGACTGGGGCAGCGTCCTCACACACATAGAAAACAAAGGCCTTGTATGATGCGCCTTACAAAGCACTGTTTCAAAGTTCCTTTCACTTCTCCAATAAAGGTTGTCAGGTAATGAATATTTTTTATCCAGCTGTTTTATTCGTGTGAATTTTTTTTAATGAAAGCATGAAGAGAAGGAAAGTTCTATTAACTGGACTAAGTTGGGGGCTTACAGACACCAATCCACTCCCCCATCCGGTTCAATCCATGTCAGAGTAACGTTTCCTGCTTCCTTACAAGCTGGTCAAGAGAGGAGTAGGTAGGGAAATAGGGGGCCGGGGGGAGGTTGGGGAGAAAAGGTTGCAGGTGGAACGGAAAAGATCCTGCCCAGCCTTTCCAGAGATGCCACTAGGTTGGACGACTTTCTGGAAAGGTCAAGCAAAGATTTTTGTTGCAAAAGAAATCGTGAGGGGCACCTGGGTGGCTCAGTTGTTAAGTGTCTGCCTTTGGCTTGAGTCATGATCCCAGGGTCCTGGGATCGAGCCCCGCATCCGGCTCTATGCTCAGTGGGAGGCCTGCTTCTCCCTTTCCCACTCCCCTTGCTTGTGTTCCCTCTTTGTGTCTCTCTGTCAAATAAATAATTTTAAGAAAATAGAAATCGTGAGTGAGTGGTGGGAACCCTGAGTAAGGAAGGCATAATCTTTGGGGTCACTCCTCACACCCTAGCTCCGTGACCCTAGATTTTTTTTTTTAAAGATTTTATTTATTTATTTGACAGAGATCACAAGTAGGCAGAGAAGCAGGCAGAGAGAGATAGGAGGAAGTAGACTCTCTGCTGAGCAGAGAGCCCAATGCGGGGCTCGATCCCAGAACCCTGGAATCACAACCCGAGCCAAAGGCAGAGGCTTTAACCCACTGAGCCACCCAGGTGCCCCTTCGTGACCCTGGATTTAACATGAGTCTCTATCTCCCTCAGTTCCCTTCAGAGACTCCTGCCACAGGAGTTTTGTGAAGCTCAAATTAGAGCTTGAGGCACAGACATTAAGTGCTCAGCATCAGTGTGACCCCTTTTCGCCCTCCCTTTGTGCTTAGTTTGGGACAGCTGCTTCCAAAGCTGGCTGGAAACTACTTCTGGCAGGAGACCCTGTGACCTACTTGATGATATTGATCGAGTTTGCCCTCCTTGGGAAAGTACTGGAACTGTAGACACTGATGGCTAAGTACCTCCCCAAACCACCTGAGTGACCTCTACTGAGGGCTGATGGGACTGGGGCTCCAGGTGGGGTTTTCCTGTGCGCCTCGCCCTCTAGTGACTGCATGTGGAAATAGCAAGGACTCCGCGCTGGGCTCATACAGGCCGCCCTCCTTCACCCCTCTGAGCGAGCCTATGTCCTGTGGTCTTGTGTGGGTGCTGTGGGCATTTCTCCTGGGGTTCTGAAACCATTCCCTCTTATCCCTGCCATTTAAAGGCAGGTTGCAGCATAATACAGCACGAATGTCTTAAAACAATGATAGGGATACTTTTGTATAATACTAGGGTGCTCCAGGTCTCCCATCTCTAATTTCCCCGTGGGCACCGAAAAGGGGGAGAGTCTCTAGGCAAGTGCTACACTACACTGGACTTTGTTACCGAAACAGAATGGGAAGACAGAATGTATTTATTCCTCCAATAAGGGATCTAAGACAATAAATGGGTAATAAGGAAACTGGTGTGCACTGAATCGAAAAAAAGTCACTTGTTTACTTCGAATTCTGAGAACTGGAGATCCCAGGGCTGTAAAGAAGGGCTTAGAGAAACAACTCTCCAATTTCCTGAAAGATCGCCTAGCTAACACTGCCCCACCTCCACCCGACAGAGACTAAATGCAAGGATATTAACTTTACTCAGGACACAGGCATTTACTCAAATCAAAGAAAATTAAGTCCCAAAGGGAAAAATAGGGGAGGAAATGAACCAATTGATTTGGAAAAATGAAAAAGTAAAGATCACATTTTCTCCAAGTTAATAGGAAAAAGCCAAGAAAGTCTCCAAAGAATACTTACTGTATTTTGCAAATACACAGCGAAATTAACCAGAAAGAACAAGCAGAGAAGGATATCGAAGAAATTTTCTTTTCTCCAAAAAGATGGAGCATCCATGGTAGGATGTTATCCCTTGTTACATCCGGTTGGTAGATCCTTAGGTGTCAGGCATCTCTGTATTTAAAATCTTCATTTAAAAAAAAGTGATGATGGCCTATTTACCTTTTCAAGAGCTGTGCTTTGGTATTTTGGAAGTACAGTTGACCCTGAACAACATGGATTTGAACTGCATGGGGCCACTTATACGCAGGTTATTTTCAATAAATACAATACAGAACTGTAAATGTATTTTCCTTATGATTTTCTTTTCTCCAGCTTACTTTATTCTAACAATACAGTATATAACGGCTCCTGGTTGGCTCAGTCGGCTAAGCATTTTCAGCTCAGGTCATGATCCCAGGGTCCTGGGATTGAGCCCCATGTGGGAAGACCCCCTATTTAAAAAAAAAAAAAAAGTTAATTTAAGGGCACCTGGGTGGCTCAGTCGGTTTAGCGTCTGCCTTCTGCCCAGGTCATGATCCCGGCATCCCAGGATGGAGTCCCACATCAGCGGGCTCCCTGCTCAGCAGGGAGTCTGCTTTTCCCTCTGCCCTTCATCCTGCTTGTGCTCTCTCTCAAATAAACAAATAAAATCTTTTTTTAGAAACTATTTTTAATAGAAGATTGAAAAACTTGTCTAAAATAAGGAAATTAATGTTTCCTATGAGATACCAACATGATGGAATAATGTTTTAAAACAGCTCTAATTCAATAAATGGAATAATGTTACAAGGAAATAGCAAAACATACTCACAGAGATTAGAAATACATAAAATACAGGGGCACCTGGGCGGCTCAGTTGGTTAAGCGTTTGACTCTCGGTTTTGGCTCAGGTCATGAGCTCAGGCTCCTGAGATTGTGCCCCCTGTTGCTTTCTGCACTCAGCACAGTCTGCTTGGGTTCTCGCCCTCTCCCCCTGCTTCTTCACCCCCACACACAAATAAATAAATCTGGAAGAAAAACCTATACAAAATACATTTTCTTTTCTTTTTAATGTGTATGCTACCTGTTTGAAGTCATAGTTTCGTGGGTTGTTATTGTTTGTGACATGAAGTCATCAGTATCTTTATCTTTACTAACAAAAGCTTATGTAGAAAAATTAACTTAGTGGTAAGCCTTACAAATTCTGTCTGCAAAAGGGAACTATTACATTTGAGAATATTCAGATCATAGGCACAGTCCTGTAGCTTCTGAATTACCCTCTTCCACTGAACTCCTTTTCTTCCTCCAGATCTCATTTTAGTATCCTCTTCAGGGAAGTCTTCCCTGACTTTCTGAGTAAGTCACTTCTGGCCAAACCAAGTACGCAATGAATACTTATTTTATAATGAATGGTTCTCTTTTCTGTAGCAACCTTGTAACTTCCCCATCTACAATTCCCTGTATGATTTCCACAACCATCAATATAATTTCGATATTTTTTTTAACACTGAAATCCTGCCCTTTAGCAGATCACTGAAGGAACTTCAGACTTAGAAAATCTTGATATTCGGGGCGCCTGGGTGGCTCAGTGTGTTAAAGGCTCTGCCTTCAGCTCAGGTCATGATCCCAGGGTCCTGGGATCAAGTCCGTCATTGGGCTCTCTGCTCAGCAGGGGGCCTGCTTCCTCCTCTCTCTCTGCCTGCTTCTCTGCCTACTTGTGATCTCTGTCTGTCAAATAAATAAATAAAATCTTAAAAAAAAAGAAAACCTTGATATTCAGTTTGTTTATTCATTCATCAAGTATTTAATATGTGCCTGTAATTTGCTCTATTATGTGCATAGCAGTGAACAAGACGGACAAGGTAAATTGTTCATGCAATTTACACTCTAAGGTGGAAGGAAAGAGGTAATAAACATGCTACAATGTCAGGGAGTGATTAAGTATCAGGAGGAGAACTGAAGCCAGGGGAGGGAATGGGAACTGGTGGGTGTGCTGTTCAGATAAGGTGGCCAAGGAAAGCCTCTTTGCAACTTGAGCTAAGCCCTGAATGACCTGAGACAGAGACATGGAAATAACTGGAGAGGAACATCCCTGGCCGAGGAAACAATGTAAAAGTCCTGGGGTGAGAATGAGCTTGATATATTTGCGGGGTGGGTGGTGGCGGCAGGCAGTGGGGTGGAGAGACAGAATGGTAACCCAGTCAATCTCATGCACAAAAGTGCAGACTTGCAAGGTCCTAAGCCGAGGATGGGGCTGCTCTTGACGATTCAATCAGGTTGTTCAGGCTGCCGCAGGGGAAATGCACGGGGGGAGGGAGGGGGGGGGGGGGGGGCTGGAGGGAAGCAGGGAAGAATGACGGAGCGCAGTGGGGAGACCCGCGCGGGCACGAAGGAGTCTCGGACTGGGCTGGGGCAGAGTGCAGGTGCTAAGTACTCAGTGCCTTACGCTTAGAGGATAAGGCTCCTCCCCACGCCCCAGCCCAGCTGCTGGGTGGTTTCAGACCCTGAACTCGAGGGGCGGCCTTACGCGGCACTCCTGACCTGGAAGGAGCCCCAGATCGGCCATCACCACCCGTGGATCTCTGGGATGTTTATTCCTCCGGGCCCCGAAGAGTCCTTATCTACAGAACTGGAATATTATCAGAAAGGACCTCGCACACACACAAAACAACCACCACGCTGATGAGCGCCATCCGGGTCAGCGTCTCTGCGCAGGCGCGGAGGGTCCAGCGGCGGCGCGGGGCTCAGTGCGCGTGCGTCTGGCCTGACCCTCGCACGCGCCTGCGCTAAGTCGCAGTCAGTTTGGCGTTGGATCCGGGAGGGTTCGGGGCACCCAGTGGCCACAGGCGCGCGGCGGGCCGGCCCGAGGCCGGGCAGCAGGGCCTCCGCCATGCCCGGGATGGTGCTTTTCGGTCGGCGCTGGGCCATTGCCAGCGACGACCTGGTCTTCCCGGGGTTCTTCGAGCTGTCCCTGCGAGTGGTGTGGTAAGGACGGCGGGCTGGGCGGCCGGGCGGGCGGGCGGCCGGGGCTCGGAGGGAGCGGGTTTCAGCCAGCCGCGAAGAGCGGCAGTGTCGCCGGGTTTGTGCGCGCGGACGCGGAGCCCACGTTCCCTCGTCTGGGCCTCTCCACCGCGCGAAGCTTCCGAGGATATGCGTGCAGCCGTTCTGCCCACTTCTGGGAGGGCACACTGAGGCCGGGTCTGGGGACCCCCAGGTCGGCCCCTGTCGCGTGCGGCGCGGAGGCCTGGCTCCGGGAGCCTCCGGGACGTGGTTATGGACCAAAGGCCGTGCCCTTCGGGATCAGCTTCCTGGAGCTAGAAGCAGCCACTTGGCATTATTACGGCGCTCGGCATGGAAACTCAGGGCATGCAGGGTCAACCAGAGGAAAGGATGGGAAATAGTAGCCTGCTTGTCGTTCCGGAACTGAATTCCCTGAGGAGCAGACAAGCCTGGCACAAAGTCTGCAACCGATGGGAAGTGGAATTGGGCTCCTCAAGTCTGCTCCCAGAGAGGCTGAGCAGGGAATAAATACAGCACCACTGTAATCGAAGAGTGCATTCTTGAGGGGAAAGGAATATAAAAACGTGAAATCCTGGAAGCGGCTTCTCAGTAGTTCCATAGTTTTCATAGCTGAGTCTCTCTGAGGTTATTTCCCATTGTTATTTCCAGACCCAAAGTCCTCATATCACAAAACTGTCAAAAGCATAAAATGTTCTCTAGTCCCAGTTCCACACCTGGGCTTGAATCCTTCATACAGTGTTCTTGCCAGCGCTGCTCAGCCATTTCCTGAAATACAGCCCTTTGGTGCTGTCTTTCCTTGTTCTGCACTGAATTATAGAAGATACTAAGTCTGCAGTACGTGGCCTTGCAAGATTATCAGTGTTCCCTGTGGAACGTCTTGGCATATCTTGATTTACCCCCTCCGGGTTTTTTGGCATTACACACAGCTGACGACAGTGTGTGATTGTCAGTTCCTTGTTAAAACCCCAGAAATCAACGTATCTTGTTAATATTTTAGCAAGCCTGCATTTTGTTGGTTTACACTTGTGTATTTCTGAGTCATGATAAGGTAGCTGTTTTTCATCAGCCCGCATTATAGTTGCCTGCTTATGGCATTAAGTGCCTCTTTGCTATGAGAGCAGGCATAGAATTAGGAACGATCATGTAAACACAGGAAGTATAAAACTCATTTCTTTAAAAATTGGCTTTAGGGGCACCTGGGTGGCTCAGTGGGTTAAGCCTCTGCCTTCCCCTCAGGTCATGATCTCGGGGTCCTGGGATCGAGCCCCATGTCGGGTTCTCTGCTCGGCGGGGAGCCTGCTTTCCCTCTCTCTCTCTCTCCCCGGCTGCCTCTGTCTGCTTGTGATCTCTCTCTCTGTCAAATAAATAAAATCTTTTAAAAATAAATAAAAATTGGCTTAAAAAAAGTCACACTCTTTAATTGACTTAGTAGATCTTTTATTATTTTTCTTAGTAGATCTTTTATTGGAGAAAATTGTATTCCAAAGCACACTTCACCTTGCCTTGGGAAATTAACTCTTTTTTAAAAAATTTAATTAAAATTTTTAAAAAAAATATTAACTCCTTTTATTTCTTCCTGTAATTTTTTAAAAAAATTTTTAGTAGATTTTATTTAATTATTTGACAGAGACACGGCGAGAGAGGGAACATGCAGGGGAGTGAGAGAGGGAAAAGCAGGCCTCCTGCTGAACAGGGAGCCCAACTCAGGGCTCGATACCGGAGATCACGACCTGAGCTGAAGGCAGACCCCTCCCAATGACTGAACCACCCAGGCGCCCTCTGTAGTGTTTTATAATGTAGTCCCTTGGTTTCCCTTTCTGACCCTCCCTATCTCTCGGCAGGTGGATTGGCATTTTGACTTTGTACCTCATGCACCAAGGGAAGCTGGACTGTACAGGTGGCGCCCTGCTCAGCAGTTACTTGATCGTTCTTCTTGTTCTCCTAGCAATTATTATATGTACAGTGGCCGCCATCACGTGTGTCAGCATGAAAGGTAAAGGGTAGCCTTTTCCTTTTTGAGATATAATTCGTGTACTGTACAATTCACCCATCGGAAGCATCCAAGATCGTGATTTTTAGTATATTCCCAGAGTTTTGCAGCCTTCACACAATCTTAGTACATTCTCCTCACCTCCAAAAAGAAATCCTATGCCTGTTAGCAGTCACTCCTCATTTTCCCCCAATTTCCTCAGCTCTAGCCATCTGCTGACCTACTTTGTCTGTAGATCTGCCTGTTCTGGGTCAAACAGGTGGAGTCATCCCCTATGTGGCCGTTGGGTCTGGCCTCTTAAACTTAGCATGTTTTCTGGGTTCATTCATCTTTTAGTGTGTGTCAACTCTTCATTCTTCTTAAGACTGAATAATATTGGCTCAGTCGGCTGAGCATCCGCCTTCAGCTCAGGTCATGATCCCAGGGTCCTGGGATCCAGCCCCACATCAGGCTCCCTGCCTAGTGTGGAGCCTCCCTCTCCCTCTGCCCCCTGCCGACCCCTGCTCCTGGGCACTCATGCCCTCTCTCTCTCTCTCTCTCTCAAATAAATCAAAATTTTAAAAAAATTACGTCGACTGGTTTGCCACATTTTACTTACCCATTTGTCAGTCGGTGGACATTTGGATTATTAACACTTTGGGGCTATTCCAGATAAAGCTGCTGTGAACATTCACATAGGTGTTTTTGTACAGGCAGAGGTTTTAATTTCTCTTGGATGTGTGCCTAGGCATGGAATGGCCAGATCATGTGGTAACCCCATGTTTAACCTTCTGGGGAGCTTCCGGACTGGAGTCCAAGCAGCTACACCATTTCTCTTTCAGTTTATAAAGAGTTTCGGTTTCTCCCCATTGTCAGCAGCGCTTACCTTTGTCTGACTTTCCGATCCTAGCCGTCCTTCTGGTGGATCTCTCTGAGGTGGTGATTTGCAGTTCTTGGTGAGCATCCTCTCGTAGCTTACTGGCCATTCGTTTATCTATGATGTGTCTACTCAGATCCTTTCCCTGTTTTTGTTTGTTTTTAAGATTTTATTATTTGACAGACGGAGATCACAAGTAGGTAGAGAGAGGGGGGGAAGCAGGCTCCCTGCCAAGCAGAGAGCCCAATGTGGGGCTCGATCCCAGGACCCTTGGATCATGACCTGAGCCGAAGGCAGAGGCTTTAACCCACTGAGCCACCTCCAGTGCCCCTCCCCCATTTTAAGTTGAGTTATTTGTCCTTTTTTATTAAAGTTCAGTTCAGTAACAGTTCCATCTGTTTTTATTTTTTAAGATTTCATTTATTTATTTGATATAAAGACAGCGAGAGAGGGAACACAAGCAGGGGGAGTAGAAGAGGGAGAAACAGGCTTCCTGCCAAGCAAGGAATATAATGTGGGGCTCGATCCCAGGACCCTGAGATCATGACCTGAGCTAAAGGCAGATGCTTAACGACTGAACCACCCAGGCGCCCTCCATCTATTCTTTTTTTTTTTTTTTTTAAAGATTTTATTTATTTGACAGAGAGATCACAAGTAGGCAGAGAGGCAGGCAGAGAGAGAGGGGGAAGCAGGCTCCCCGCTGAGCAGAGAGCTCGATGTGGGGCTCAATCCCAGGACCCCGAGATCATGACCTGAGCCGAAGGCAGAGGCTTAACCTACTGAGCCACCCAGGCGCCCCCCTCCATCTACTCTTAATGATAATTTTTTTCTCCATGTTACAGTTTTTGCAGTTACTTTGCTGAAAATGTTGGGAGCCTTCCCTGTATGAACCTCCTATCAGGTTCATAGGAGGAGCTGAGCACTGTGGTGCATTAGAAACTAAAAACTCGGCGGTCAGAGGCAGGGCTAAATGACACGCTCCCCTCCAGCACGTTTCATCATTGCTTGAGTGGGGCTGGGGGAGGCAGGCTCACACATTCCAGATGATGATGAAAGCACTGGGAGGCAGTAGCTGATAACCCTGGGCAACAGAGTCGTGATCTCGGCGGTGAATGACCAACTGAAACTGAAAAGATGGGGGTAGCTTGTGGGGAGTGATGGAGAAATGTTAGTGGCCGAGTATTTCATGAGAAAGACCACAGGGTTTTAAAAATGTCTAAGAGATGTGGCATGTGCCCACTTAAAGAGACATGTACGGAAAAGAAAGCGCTGTGTATTTGAGCATGCCCGTGAAAACATGAATGCGTGCATGAATGTCTAGAGCAAAGAAGGTCCCCATTCTGTTCTGTGTCAGTCCCTGCTCTGTGGCTTTAGCACCATGGAGTTGTGGTTTCAATGTTGTGTTTTTGTTGTTTCTTAGAGCGTGTGGGTGGGGGTTCGCAGAGGGAAAGAGAGAACCTCAAGCAAACTCCGTACTGAGTGCGGAGCCCGGTGCAGGGGTTGATCTCACGACCCTGAGATTATGATCTGAGCTGAAACCGAGAGTCGGTCGCTTAACCAGCTTAGCCAGCCACGTGCCCCAGCGCTATGGAGCCTTTCGTGAAGTCTGAGTTTCTGCAAGGTGAAGTATTTGGGTTGGTGTCACTTCATTTGTGGCACCATCTCATTTCTTGGCCCTTTCTCTTCATGTCCTGTTCTGGTTAGGAGACTCAGTGTTCAGATCTGAAGCAGGAATGTGAGCTTTTTTTCCCTTGAGTATTTTTTCTTCAGACATCTTTGGTGGTGTCGGGGCACATACACCGTGGTGGATGGTCGTGTTTGCTCCCCTTCAGCACTTGCCTAAGGCCTGCACCGTCTCACGCTCACGGTCAGAGCTCAGAATACATCCGATGGTGTACGTTAGGCGTTCTGTGCTAGCAGTTTGTGTTATGGGCGGGTTGCCTGTCCGGCAGCCTCTTCCAAACAACCCAGTTTTATTTGGGACGTCCCCCATCCCTCACATATGAAGTAAGTGTGTCAGAGAAGCCAGCTCTCCACCCAGCTCAGGAATGATGCTCCCATGTCAGTGACTGGTTCCGGAACGGACATGCGACCCAGTTGGAGCCAGTGAAACTCGGGAATTTTCTGGAAGGTTCTGGGGAGTCTTGATCCTCGAGGAAAGACACAGAAGTAATACAGTGTTTTCAGGCTGGTGATTCTGTGGAGGGAGGAGCTGTTGAATTCCTGGTGTATCTCCACTCACAGCCAGGACGAGCTGACACACAGGAGGGCAGAGTCGTGAGAAGCCAGAGAGCCGGGACGCCTGTCCCAGCGCTGCACTTCAGTCCCCGAGTCAGGGCATGTCCTGGGTCCTTCCTGTTTTTCAACTTTTGTTACTTGTGGTGAGAGGGGCCATAACTGAACTAAAAGCAATATTTTATAAATCACGTTAGTTTAAGTGCCAGCCTTGAGATCATGATCTGAGTCAAAATCAAAAGTCAGTGCTTAACTCACTGAGCCACCCAGGCATCCTTGTTAATTTTATTCTTGATACGTGGGTAACTTCTGTTGCCCCTTTTGTTCCGTGAGGCGTCTCAGTAATTAACCTGTCGCTCATGCTGGAGGGCCATGTTTATGTAGCTTTGGGCTGGTCTTACTCTCTCGGAGAGACACCCCAAGCTGCAGGGGGCACATGTGGGACCAGCAGGGTTCGGTCATCTTGATCCAAGACACTGAGGCACGTGCGCTCCTCTCTCTCCCGGTCATCAGTCATCGGTGCAGCGTAGCTGGGGAGAAGCTCGATGCTGCGGTTTCTGGTGTTGACCTGAGAACCGCCCTGGTGAAATCCTTCTGTTCCTATCATGGGGGAGGCTTAGTTAAGGAAGGTCCAGCCTCACGACTACCCCGTTTTCACGGCGGAGCACCCTCAGCCTCCAGGGTGTGCCGTTTGCTGTGTTCAATGCGGGTTCTGGGCCATTTCCTTGCGTCACCTCCGTGCTCGTCTCCCGCTGGGGAAGGTCGGGGCAGTGTGTAGAGCCGTTGAAGCCCAGATGCTGTGACACGGGCCTGTGTTCTGTGATCTTCGCACGAGTGGCTCTGTGCGGTGAAGCCCCGGGCGGCGCCGCAGTCCGTTCCGCGAGGAGGTTCTGCTCGGCGGTCATGGGGCCTCCACATCCCAGCACCCCGGGAGCAGCAGGTCCTCGCCGGGCCCTCCTTGCCTCGAGAGGAAGATCTCTTATCTAAGTAAATAATTATGTTTTCATCGGTGGGTTTGACTGGATAAAGGAGGTTTTTTTCAGTATCTTGATTTCTTTTTGGAATCTTAGAACTCCATTTTCTGCTTCCTTATTTACGACTGTATTTCATGCACGGACTGGCGGAGTGCCGGGCCGGGCGCTGTGGGTGCTGCTGGGGGCCGGCCCAGCCGGAGTTCCCTGCTGCCCGTGGTCGGCTGGTTGCAGCGGGCTCCCGGCGGGGCGCGGGGGTGTTAGGCCCGCACCCTTAGTCCCTCGGGGAGAGAGAGTTGTTTTGGTTACCTTATATTTTGTCTTTGTGCCAAACAGAAACTTTAGAGCATGAGTCTAATTAGTTACCCAGTCTAATGGAAGGTGATTCTTGGAACATAACAACTGTTTCCTCGGGGCACCTGGGTGGCTCAATGGGTTAAAGCCTCTGCCTTTGGCTCAGGTCGTCATGATCCCGGGGTCCTGGGATCGAGCCCCTAAGTAGAAGTGATTGTGTCGTAGAAGCCTGGTTCATCCTCTCTCTCTGCCTGCCTCTCTGCCTACTTGTGATCTCTCTCTGTCAAATAAATAAATAAAATCTTTAAAAAAAAAAAAAAAGCTGTTTCCTCACCAGATCATTCTTTAAATCTTAAGATTGTCTTCACTCATGGTTTTGGGTTTTTGTTTTTTTTTCCACTGTTTTCGTTTTAATCATTTGGCATTTTTGTGTCGCTTCAGTTAGTACTTATCACACCTTTTCCCAGAGGGAGAGAGCTGAGGTTTTACATGGAGAATTAAAGCGCATGGACCTCAGTGGGCCACTTGGGTTTGTGGGAGACACACGGTGAAAAGGTTGCGTCTATGTGTTGGGTTTCTTCAAGTGTTCCCGTGCGTCAGAATTGTTCACTTTCCAAGAGTGCGGACCCTGGTGAACTGGAGAGCCAGGACCATGCAGACCTGGATTGTGGGGGTTTTGTCGTTGTTGTTGTTAAGATTTTGTTTATTTATTTGACAGAGTGGGGGAAGGGGCAGAGAGAGAGGGAGAGAGAGAATCTCAGGGAGACTCCCCGCTGAGCACAGAGCCATATGTAGGGCTCTGTCTCATGACCCTGAGATCATGACCTGAGCGGAAATCAAGAATCAGAGGCTTAATCAACCCTATCACCCAGGCACCTCTTGGGTTATGTTTTAGAAAATAGTTACTAAGCTCTCTTAGCCTCAGTTTCCTCATTTGTAAGATGGGGCAGTAACTATCTTCAGAGCTGTGAGGATTACAGAATAATGGGTGTTAAGTGTTTCACGTGGTGCCTGAACGCCATACATCTCGAGCAGATGGTGGAGTTATTTTCTAGAGTCGGGTGACCGTGTATCTCTGCTGGCCCGGGACAGTTCTGTTTTGTGCCCGATGTCCCAGCATAATTATTCGTAGCCCCTCCTTCCTCTCTCAGAAGTGCCCCAGCTTGGGCAATGATTGTATGGCCATCCCAGTTAGAACCCTGAAGTCTCTTGAGACCCTCGTAAGTCTAGGAAATGAATCTGAGGCTTTTTGTCCTATTTTTACCCCTGACTTGGTCACTTGCTCTCAGCCTTCGGCACTGATTTCCAATTGAGAGTAGAAACCACCTACAGTAGTAACAGATGCTCTCCGCCCTCTGTTTCTGTGGAAAGGAAGTCTCCGAGGAAGCCAGGTGCCCAGTTTGAGTATCTTTTGTGTTTTAGGAACCATCTGTAATCCTGGACCACGGAAATCTATGTCCAAACTGCTTTACCTCCGCCTAGCGCTCTTTCTGCCGGAGATGGTCTGGGCCTCTCTGGGGGCTGCCTGGATAGCGGACGACGTTCAGTGTGACAAGACGGTGGTGAGCGGCATCGTTGCCACAGTTGTCATCAGGTGGGGTCTTCCGTCTTCTCTTTCAGTTTCTTGTCTCAGGTGCATTTGAGATGTGAGGAAACAGACCTTTCTGAGTCACTGCAGATAGCCCAGTGTCATGCGGGCTTCCTCAAATTGTTAGAAATTGGACTTTTTTTTTTTTTTTAAGATTTTATTTATTTGATAGAGAGAGCACAAGTAGTTAGAGCAGCAGACCTCTCAGCAGAGGGAGAGGGAGAAGCAGGCCCTCTGCTGAGCAGGGAGCCCGATGTGGGGCTCGATTCCAGAACCCTGGGATCATGACCTGAGCCGAAGGCTGATGCTTAACAACTAAGCCACCCAGGTGCCCTGAAATTGGACCTTTTTGAGTAAATCATAAAAACCGAGACATGTATTTATATGTAAGGAATAATTTATCTCCCGTTAATACATTTATTGATAACATTTCTTTTTCTTGCTGGTTCTTGCTCTTCTCTATTCCACTCTTTCTGTTATTAGAAAGAAGAAAACCCAAAGACCAAATCAAGGGCAAAAACTAAAGGCGGAATGAGAAGAAACAACAGTGTCAGGAATTGTGAGGGACTAATGGATGGGATTGGCTTTTCCCAGTCTCCAGGCTCGCAGTCTTAGGAAGGATCTAGTTACTTCCCCTGGTGGAGACTCATGCTGACGCTGCCCTTCCCACGCCGCACATGCAGGGGCAGCAGAGTCCCTGCACAGAGGTGCATTTTCCTGTGCACGTGTTCGTGAACCATGATGTCTGGCACATTGTGCCCTGAATGTATGAATGAAAAACCCATCAGAGTATCTCACGATGTGGCAAAGTTCTTTGGGTTTTACCAAACATGGCCTGGGTCATGGCCAGTGGACGGACCATGGAGAACAGGTTCCAGCTACTTCCGTGTCCAGGCTGCAACTCTGCCTACCAGGCACCTCCTTTTCTCTTTTGTGGTCTTCACTTCTAAGGCTCTGACTTCTGTGGGACCAGGGTCAGCCACAGGCCTATAAAGAACTTTCTAGAAAAAACAAGTGGCTCACCTCCACCTGGTTCTGGGAGAGCCGCATCTGGACGTGGGACCCAGGGTCCTCATGCCTTCTCTCTCTGTTTTGCAGCTGGGTTATCATCGTCTCCACCGTGGTCACCATCATCATCGTCTTTGACCCCCTCGGGGGGAAAATGGCTCCATATCCCTCCGCTGGCCCCAACCACCTGGATAGTCGTGAGTCCAGCCAGCTACTTAATGGCCTCAAGACAGCAGCTACGAGCGTGTGGGAAACCAGAATCAAGCTGCTGTGCTGTTGCATCGGGAAGGACGACCATACTCGAGTAGCTTTTTCGAGTACGGCAGAGCTTTTCTCAACCTACTTTTCAGTAAGCTGAAGGGGTCTGCTTTCGTCTCTTTCTCCTCAGTAAATGTCTCATGTTAACATGAATACTCTGTTCACGCCAAAGTGCTCTTGCACATGTGTGCTGTGTGGCGTGGCGGGGTCGGGGGGTGTTAGTGCAGGGCCCTGCGCTCGCGGACCCGTCTCCCTGGCGGGTGCGTCCTGGTGTAGCCACCTGTTTGTTACACTGTCGGGATTCTTAGTTCATTTTTAAGGAGCTCCGTGATGGAACCTGCATGTTGTGGGGCGGATTTGCCAGCTGGTCCCCTCTGCAGGCGCCAGGTGTGGGCGGTGCCGTGTGTCCAGGGAGCTGTCAGGCCCCGTCTGCTACTTCATAGCGTGATAGACGTGATAGATGACTCTACTCCTGAAGGAGAGTTTCAGTATGTTACTACTGGGTGGGCAGGTGTCTTCATTCTAGAGCGGTTTCTTCAGTGATTTGGGAACACTCGTTTTCTTCCACATCCAGCGTTTTCCAGTAATGTTCTCTGGGGAACTGTTGTGTTCGGTGTTGAGACCTGGGAAGGGAGAGGAGTTCTCATGACGTCCTGCGTGACTGCCGGTCCCTCCTTGCCTCTCTGTGGCGTCTGTGGGGCCCAGGGCTGGCCTGTAGGTTGGCCCCAGGCGGCTGCCTACATCCAGGGACTGGAGAAGTGTTTCTTCCTAAACTAACCTTCAAGGAGTGCTCTGGTCTGGGCCTAAGATAGTTGGAAGAACCGGTGGCTCAGGCCGAGTGGCCAGTGCCTGGTGCTTCCTTGCGGACCGGAAGTGGCTGGAGGCAGCTGAGGATTCCTGCTACTCCATATCCCACCTGAAGGACAAGGGGGAGGCGGGCACAGGAGACCTCCCCCTGCTGCTTTCCTTGTCTGAGGTTCTTTTGGAGGCTTGCTGTAGCCACAGAGTCCAAGTTCAGCCTCTTAAATCTCTACCAGGGACTCTTGGAACAGAACCATGGCATTTTGAGCAAGAGTCTAAATTTGGGCTAAAATTGGCCATTTAGTACAAAGATGGTGAACTTCCTTATCCATTTGCTCCCAACTATACAAAAGCTGTGAACTGAGTTAAGTAGCTACATTAGCTTGAAATGAAATTTGAAAATAAGGGTCCAGCAGCATTTCTCTGTTCTCCCGTGGATTTGTCTGAGTGCAGGATTGTAAAAATCAAGCTCACATACAGATGGAGTCTTGAAAGGAAAATATTCTTAAGGAACATCTTTACGTGTAACTGTGTGTGTGCGTGTGTGTGAACTGTAAAAAATAAACTGACTTTTAAGGAACTCAAAGGCCATCCCTGCTGAGTTGTGCGACAAGCCACTGTTTTCATCCAGGACACAGACCTGGTGCCCAGCGACATTGCGGCGGGCCTCACCCTTCTCCATCAGCAACAGGACAATATCAGGAACAGCCAGGAGCCAGATGAGGTGATCAGCCATTCCCCAGGACCCCCCCAGGTAAGCCCCTTCCTGTTTGGTTGTCAGGTTTCGACATTTACTCCTATTCATACATCTTCAAAAAAACGAAACAGACTGGCCAGCAGCGAATTCAGGACCGTTGGCTTGGAATGTGGTGTGTGGCTTGTGCTGGCTGCTCCACCATCCATTGTATTTTTAAAGCATTTTCTTTTAGGAAATTGTTGAAATCTGTACAGCAAAAGTCCTTTCTGAGATGGGCCTGACTCCCCCGGGTGCGTGTGCTCTCTTCTCTGGGCCGAGGGAGCAGAAACAGTTGGGTTTTGCTGGAGGAGTTTTCCTGCCGCAGGTGTTGGCTTCTGAAGGAGGTTGCACATGGGTGGGTGTCGTTCTCTGCACCTCATGCAGGGGCCTGGCGCTCTGCTGTCCTCACGCGCCTCGTGCTCGTCACTGGCTTGTTCCAGCAGGGGCCGCAGGAGTTATAGTAGGGGTTCTTGCTGTTGACGTCCACCGTCCTGGCTACAGTCCTGTAAAACCAGAGTCTTTCTTTGTCCCTGTTCCAGGACAAGTTTTCCCTGTGGAAGACCCCTGAGGTCTATTCAACGAGGAAAGAAAGGGGCGTCACCAGGAGTTGGAGTTCAGGTTATGATCTCCGTCGGTCCTGACCGTGATGGGCTCTGTTGTTCTTCTCTTCCAGGAAGCTGATTTGGACACCGAGTTAGCCAACTGTCGCCATTACGTGCAGTTTGCAGCAGCGGCCTACGGGTGGCCCCTCTACGTCTACCGGAACCCCTTCACTGGGCTCTGCAAGATTGGCGGGGACTGGTGGGTGGGCGCGCCCGGCCCCGCGGTCATGCTGCTCAGTGCTCCTCGGAGCCCTCGCTGTACTTTCTAAAAATAATCCCGTTGCCCTTTCCAAAAATGTTCTGTTTTGAAATATTTCAAAACCGCAAGCACGGTACCAGGAACACCCATCGATCCTTTATCTGGAGCCACCAGTTGTGACTCAGTGTGGTCACATGTGCTGTGTCACCGTTGCTCTGCTGAAGCTCCAGCGGCGGAGGGCGCGCCCCTTACCCCCTGCCGCTCGGGCCCCGTTTCCTGAGAACGAGGACCTTCTGCACGTGCTCAGGACGCTTCTGCGCCAGCATAGCTAGCGTTAAGCAAGAGCTCACTTAGGTTCTGGAGTCACGGTTTCATGCTTGTCCCAGGAGTGGCCTCCAGAGTAAGGTTTCCTCCACGTGAAGCTTACGCATCACACTTGGTGTCTATCTGGCACAGTTCCTCCTTGTTTTACGTCTTGTGTGAGGCTGACATTGCATTGCGTGGTAGCCTAGGTATTTTGTGAATGGCTCTCAGTTTGTATTCGATGGTCTCTTCCGGATTAGAGTCAAGTTACACATCTTTGGCAGGAATTCCCCAGAAGCAACATTGCGCACTTCTTGCTCCGTCGTATCAGCAAACAGGATGCCAGTTTGCCCTATTCCTGGAGATTTGAGAGTCTCTCCACTTCTTAATATATTTTTTGGTTATGTAAAACACGAACACGACTCCAGAAGTCAGAACTCTAGTAACAGGTGTGCCCAGAAATGGTAAAGGCCATTATTCGGGAGCCAGAGTAAGTGCTGAGCATAGTGAACTCTGGTTCTCATGTGTGCTGGGGGGACGGGACAGTGGGGGTGATGCTCCCTGCTCAGTACCATAACTGACACGTTCGCCGTGTGTTTAGTTTTAGAAGCAGGACGACGGACTACGACCTGGTCGGCGGCGACCAGCTGCACTGCCACTTCGGCTCCATCCTGCACACGACGGGCCTGCAGTACAGGGATTTCATTCACATAAGCTTTCATGACAAGGTCGGTACAACGGCGCCTCGTCACTGCTCTGGGGTCCTGGGGTCCTTTGAGAGTGTGGCGGAAGTTATAAATTACCTCCCCCAGAAAATGCGCGCGCACACACACACACGGACTTAATGCGAGATGGAGTCAGAAGTCTTTGTAGAGATACTGCCCTGGGTTCTAGGCAGCCCACCTTCTGTGGGAGAACAGCGCCACTGCCCAGCTGTTAGAGACGCTGGGCTGGGCGAACTCGGCCCCGTAGCCGCGCGCTCTCACTCTCCAGAACTCATGCTTCTTTCCCTCACCCTCAGGTCTATGAGCTTCCCTTTTTAGTGGCTCTGGACCACAGGAAGGAATCTGTCGTGGTAGCAGTGAGAGGAACCATGTCTCTGCAGGTAAGGAGCACCGTGCTCGAGGCCCCGGGACGAGGGGTGGGGTGCCAGGAGACCCACCTTTGCTGGAACAGGGGATAGAGTCCTCATCAGTTAGAGCAGCAGGTGTAGCAGAAAAGACCAGGATAGAAAGTGGAGAAGCCTACCCGGGGCTGTTACGTGCTGCCTTTGGAGAAATGATTGGATTCTGTTCTTTTCACTGAGAAGCGTCAGAAACAGAGCGGCAGGCCTGGGTTCCTCAGTGGAGGACTTCCTCCAGAGGCGCCCCCCGACTCACCAGGGCCGCAGGGCCTGCTGTGGAGCCCTGTTGCCCCGCCTGCCCGCCCCCGCCTTCCCTGCCCGGTGCAGATGAGTGGGCGGCTGCTGCGTTCTTCCTGTGTCGTGCTCTCTGGTCTGTTCTTGGCCATTCCTCAGTCTCGTTTCCTGATCCTCACTTCCCCACTGACCCAGAAAGTGTAGTGAGACACCACAGTAGGAGCTCTCGGCCTCCTGCGGCCAGGGCCTGCCACTCTGGGTGTTGGCCAGGACTCCGCACCTGCCCAGGGCTCTGCCGGAGACAAGCAGATGCCTCACCCACCCCGGCCCCGCTTCTGGTGATTCCGCAGCATTCCCCAGCTGGCCCCGGAAGGAAGCATGCACTTATTCTTGCCTTTTCTCCTGGCTTCCTGCCCAGATCTCTCTGGCTGTCTCCCCATTCGCAGCCCCGTGGCCCTCATTGTGGCCCTGCCCGCAGCGCCACTTCCCCTCCCCCACACGCCTGGGAAGCAGTTTACTACCTTGGTTCCTGTCTCTGGTCTCTTATCTTCTCAGTCAGTCCTTATTCCGTCCACAGACGGGACTGTCTGTCTAGACCATGGGTCAGATGTTACCACTGCTTCTTAAAAACCACCCTTGGGCGCACCCCACCCCGTTACTTTTTTTTTTTTTTTTAAGATTTTATTTATTTGACAGAGAGGAGAGACAGTGAGAGAGGGAACACAAGCAGGGGGAGTGGGAGAGGGAGAAGCAGGCTTCCCGTGGAGCAAGGAGCCTGATGCAGGACTCGATCCCAGGACCCTGGAATCATGACTTGAGCCAAAGGCAGACATTTAACAACTGAGCCACCCAGGCACCCCAAGATTTTTTATTTATTTATTTATTTTGAGAAAGCTTGTGAGTGGGGGAGGGAGGGGCTGAAGGAGAAGAGAGAGAAAATCTTAAGCAGGCTACGCACCCAGCGCAGAGCTCGACACTGGGCTCTCTCTCATGACCCTGAGATATGACCTGAGCCAAAATCAAGAGGCGGATGCTTAAGCGACTGAGCCTCCCAGGCACCCCCCCCATTACTTTTTAATAGAAAATTTATGTGTCTTATCACAGCTCTGTTGGTGTTTAGTGACCTCACCCCAGCCCGCCTTTCTGGTTTCTACCCCGAGCTCAGCCTGCCAGTGGTTCTCCAGTGTGCCAGAGTCCCCCCAAGCTTTGCAGGGTATAGTTATGGAGTCCACTCCCCAGTGGGTTAGCTGCCCTGGGTCCTGGGGGGACACCTGCCTCTTGGGCTCTACATGGGTGCCTGCCCCTCTATCTGCTTCCTGTGCTCAGATGCTCTCTGCCTTGGGTCTTCCTGGCCCCTTGGGTGGGGTTGCTGTCCCTGTTCCCTGAAAGCAAGATTTTCCTTAAATCTTTTGCTCAGATGCCACCTCCTCCAGGAAGTCTACCCCCACCCCAGCTCTGTAGTGCACCCTCCCCACGCCCATGAATCTCTTACCCTCCCTTAGGTTTCAGTGAGCTGTTGATAGCCCCTTGAGGATAGGAACCATACTTTGTTCAAAACCCAGGTACAGGGCTCTGTGCTTCATGAGTACTTAGAAGAGGTGTGGAGTGAGGAAAGGCAGAAGGTGTGCCTTAGCTGCGTCACACGCCCGCTGCTTGCGGTGGGTCCCTCAGGAGTTTCCTGGCTACCTGGGTTTCCCTCCTGAGGTTGGGTGTCTGGTTCAGTCCTCAGTGGTCTGACCCAGGCGACCGTAGTGCTCCACGGTCCCTCAGAGGGACCTGCCCCGCCGGCCTCTGCGCGCAGCTCGTCCCAACGGCCTCTTCCAATGCGCTCTTTGTAGGACATCCTCACGGACCTGTCAGCGGAGAGTGAGACCCTCAACTTAGAGTGTGGGCTGCAGGACTGTTCGGCACACAAGGTACAAGCCCTGGGGTGTGTGTTCAGGAATGTACCATTAAGGAGAACCTCTAGGGGGTCAGGATTTTTCCAAGTCTGACCGTCTCCCGGGGGTGCTAACCACACGGCAGGTAGCGACCAGCTGCCCAGTGCTGTGCACAGTAAGGCTTTTCCTTCTCTCCATAGAAATCCTCACGGCAGCCTCACGAGGTTGCTCTGGTTTCTTAAGAGGAAGGAGCAGGTTCAGAGCCATCAGGGGACTTGCCAGAGGCCACAGTTAATTGGAATGTGTCCGTTGGCACTTGAACCCGGGTTGAACGCTCTTCTCCCCTTGATGGGAGGCGTTTGTGGTCATGGAGAAGAGAAGCTGCAGCTCAGCACGGGGCCCCCCACCCAGGAGACCCCCCAGACCCTCCCGCCCCTGGAGTGGCAGGTGCCCCCGGCACTTCCCTGTCGCCCAGCGGGTTCCCTCTGCCGGTATCACAGCGCGCACGTTCTCCTTTCACTCTTCCTGTGCCTGCCGCGGGTTTCAAGTCTCCTCCTCCAGGGACAGAAATGGCCGGTCTGGGGCAGAGGTTTTTTTTTTTTTTTTTAAAGATTTTATTTATTTATTTGTCAGAGAGAGAGAGAGAGGGAGAGAGAGCAAGCACAGGCAGACAGAATGGCAGGCAGAGGCAGAGGGAGAAGCAGGCTCCCCGCTGAGCAAGGAGCCCGATGCGGGACTCGATCCCAGGACGCTGGGATCACGACCTGAGCCGAAGGCAGCTGCTTAACCAACTGAGCCACCCAGGCGTCCCCAGAGTTGTTTTTTAATAGGATTTTAATTACATAACATGATGTTGATCATCATAACCCTTTTTAAGTATACGACTCTGTGACAGCAGAGACATTCAGAAGGCTGTGTCCCCACGACCACCATCTGCAGTCAGAGCCTCCTCGATCGCTCCTCCCCGCCCGCCCCCCAGCCCCTGGGAACCGCCATTCCGGTGCCCCCCAGTGTGCCTGTTCTGGGCCCTCGCAGAACCGGAGTCAGGTGTTACTTGTCCTTTCACCGAGCCATGTCCTCGAGGTCGAGCCAAGGCAGTAGCACGTGTCAAGAGTCCCCTTCCCCTGCTGGCTGCTGGACGCCCCACTGTGTGCCAAGACCACATGGATGGATGCGGGGGCCACGTCTGGGCTGTGGCTGGGAACAGCCGTTTGGGTCCCTGCCTCCATGCTTCAGGGACGCTGCCCAGGAGCGGAGTCACCATGTGTGCTGGTGGCACCTGGGATGTGTCACGGAGGCCCCGGCTGTGTTCACACAGTCCGGCCTTGTTCTCCGCGCGCTCGGGGCCGCTTCCTTGCTGGCTTTTGATGCTTCCGGTCGTCCTGCTGGGCACAAGGCAGTGTCCCACGGTGGCTGGGCAGAGTAGAGTGCTTGCACGTGTGAGGGAAGGACCAGTCCTGGAAGTTACAGCAGCTCCTTCCGGGGAGAGAGATGTTGGGGTGGAGGGCGGGGGGCTGGTGCTGCTTTATACACAGTGTGTGTTTTGTGTGATGATCATTTTTTAAGTAAAATGCCTAATCTTTTTTAAAAGTATGTGTCAGAACCAGACTATAGCCGATGGAGCCCCCGTGTCCCACTGGGCAGTTTCGGTACATTCCTTCTCCCACCATTTAGCTGAGGGACGGTCCCGGGAATGTGAACTTTCCCATCAACCCTTAACTCTGTTTATGAGCCTCACGTCACAGAGGAGTCCGGTGTCACTACCGGGCATGTGTGTAGAAAAACAAAGAAATGTCTTATTTTCTCACAGACACAATTAGTAGCCGGCCACATGTACGCGTCAGGATCCCGTGGGCTGGGCTGTGGCCTTGTTCTTAGAATCCGCCCGCAGGTCAAGACTTTGTGCGCTCTGGGCCTGGCCTCCTCCAGCCCAGGTCAGGCCTGAGGGCTTGAGTTCAAAGTGGTGCCACCGAACGCCTTGTCCGTGTGTCACAGGCAGGGCCTCCTGCCGGCGATGCTGTATCCAGGTCACCTTTGGCTCCACCTGTCCCGGAGTAGGTCCCTGTGGGGGTTGGGAGGCGGCTGCACTGCTGGCCGAGGGGAGGCTGGGGAAGCATCCTGGTCCGTCAGGAGATGCTCCGTGCAGATGGGAAACCTGTCGAACCTCCTCGTAGCTTCTCTTGTATGCAGCCAGGGTCGGCCTTCTCCCACCGAACTCGGTAGTGACTGACTTGGGAATTTGCAGTTTTCGAGGCAGTCCCGCTTGTCCTGTCTCAGCACAGGATCTCTCCCACTCTGTGCCGGGAGAGAAGGCAGGCCTGTCTCATCACGGAGGGCTCTCTCGTCCGTGAAGATGGCTGCATTTTCAGGAATCCTGTCTCTTAGGATGGCTGTATTTATTAGGTTTTATGTATTTTTTTAAAAGATTTTATTTACTTATTTGACAGAGATCATGAGTAGGCACAGAGAGAGGGGGAAGCAGGCTCCCTGCTGAGCAGAGAGCCTGATGCGGGGCTCGATCCCAGGATCCTGGGGACCATGACCTGAGCTGAAGGCAGAGACTTAACCCACTGAGCTACCCAGGCACCCCTGTTTTATATATTTTTTGAAATTAAACTAAAACCTAACCTTCCTAGAACTCTGCTTCCATGGTCTTAGTTTTGCGTCTGTGGGAACTGGATGCTTAATCAGCTATTACCAACTCAGAGCTTTTTTGTTTTGACATCACGCTGAAAGATCAGTCCTCTATCAGCTAGATCGGACCGGCCGTCGGGACTCGGCCGAAGTGTGGTCAGCGCATATGGCAGGATACCGTGTAGCTACAGAAAAGCCGTAGAAAGATCCACTGGCTGGGAAAGGTGTTGTGGATGTCACCCCTTCCTTCGTCCCCGGAACCAGTGACGGAGCGCCCGCTCCATGCCCGGCCCTGCGCGGGGGACCAGGAACACGGCGGGGCGCAGTAGCCGCGGCTGCTGATCCCCGGGTGCTCACCTCGTCTCTGGGGACACACGGAAGCATGCATGCCCTAGCCCTGTCGTGTGATGGGACCTGTCCTGTCCGACGACCAATGGCCGCCTTCTCTTATCTGTGTTTCTAGGGGATTTCTCAAGCCGCCAGATACGTTTACCAGCGCCTCGTCAGTGATGGGATTTTGAGCCAAGCGTTCAGCATTGCTCCCGTGAGATTCTGACTTTTCATTGATTGTGTGTCATCCAGCCGCAGGTCGCCTTGTTCCGCTAACGCTGCCGCTCCTCTCTCTCCACAGGAATACCGGCTGGTGGTGGTGGGCCACAGCCTGGGGGCGGGCGCCGCAGCGCTGCTGGCCCTCATGCTCCGGAGCTCCTACCCGCAGGTCCGCTGCTACGCCTTCTCCCCGCCCAGGGGGCTGCTGAGGTGCGTGCCGTCGGGGCGCCGCGGGCGAGTGCCAGTCCCCGCTCCGCACTGCTCGCCCCTGGGCTTCCATCGTGCGCTCTCCTCCGCAGCCCCCGTTAGTTTCCAGCGCTGTTGGGTTTGCGACAGACCGAAGAGCCCCTCGCAGGCCCATGAGCGGAGCTCTGCTTCCCTAGACCGTGCGGGGCTGAGATCTTTCTGTAAACGGAGATGCGGTTGGTGTTCGTGTTGGGTGCACAAGGCAGTCATTTGGTATTTGTACAGATGGTGCAGTGATTACAAGAAACCGAGAAGAGAACATCTGCCACTTTATCTAGTTACAGAGGTTTTTTTTTTTCTGGTGGTAAGAACCTTGAAGATTTATTCTCTTAGCAACTTTGAGACGCGCAGCCCAGCAGGTGAACTGTGGCCGCCATGCTGTGTGTTCTGTCCCTGTCGGTGTCCGTGACTTACTAATAACCAGGAGTTTGTGCCCTTTGACTCCCTTCTCCTGTCCCACAAGCCCCACCTCTGCAACCACCAACCCACAATTCTCTAGATCTGCGAGCTTGGTTTTTGGTTTTGGGGGTTTCTTTTTCTTTTACTTTTTCTTTTTCTTTTTCTTTTTTTTTTTTAGATTTCACATGTAAGTGTGGTCTTCCAGTATTTGTAAAGACAAGTCTGTCTTATTCCGCGTAGCATAATGCCCTCCGGGTCCATCTGTGTAGCTGCAGATGGCAGGATTTCCTTTGCTTTATTCTGCTTTAGCCTGTTTTCGTGATTTTATGGCCGTCGGGTATGTACATGCACATCGACACTTCGTGCCAGCCGACACTTGGGCTGCGGTCCCGGCTGCTGGAGATGGTGCTTCGGTGAACGTGGGGTACGGGCGGCTGTTCAGGTCAGGAGAGTCGTTCCCTTTGGATCTGTGTCCAGAAGTGGGATCGCCAGATGATACGGTAGTTGTACGTCCCACTTTTTGAGGAACCTCCATACTGTTTCCCAGTGGCTGCGCCGATTTACCTTCCCCCAGCAGCGCACGAGGGTTCCCTGTTGTCCAGGTCCTCACCCACACTGGACGTTTCTTGGTTTGGGGGGCTCTTTTGTTCTTGTGTTTAATACTAGCCGTGCTGACGGGTGGGAGGGGAGATCCTTACTGTGGTTTTGATTTGCATTTCCTGCCAAGTAGTGATGTCGCGCGCCTTTTCGTGCCCGTGGGTCACGTGCAGGTCTTTGTGCGGAAAATGTCTGTCTGATCCTCTGCCCGTTTTTGAGTCTTACTGGTTTTTGCTGTTGGCTTGTGTGAGTTCTCTCTGTATTCTGGGTATCAGCCCTGTGTCGGGGTCGGCGCACGTTCCCTCCCGTTCGTTTCGTTGGGGGTTTCCTTTGCTGTGCAGAAGCTTTTCAGTAGGATGCAGCCCCTCTTGGTTATTTTTGTTTTTGTCACCTTTGCTTTTGGGGTCAAATCCAAAAAATTGTCACCAGGACCAGTGTCAAGGAGCCTACTGCCTGTTTTCTCCTTGGAGTTTTCTGGGTTCCGGTCTCTAACCGGTCATGAGTTCTTTGTGCGCGTGTGATGTGAGGTGGGGGGTCTGGCTTCATGCTGCTGCACGGGGCTTCCGATTTCCAATCACCGTCAGTCGAAGAGACTGTTCTTTCCCCACCGTGTGTTCTTGGCTCCTCTGTTGTCAGATAGTTGGGTGTGTTTCTGGGCTCCGTGTCTGTCTTTATGCCAGGACCATACAGCTAGGATTACTGTGGCTTTGTAACATAGTTCGAAGTCCAGGAGCGCGAGGCTGCCCACTTTGTTCTGCCCCTAAAGGTGGCTTTGCCGGGGCGCCCGGGTGGCTCACTTGGTGAAGCATCTGCCTTCGGCTCAGGTCATGATCCCGGAGTCCCAGGATCAAGTCCCACATCGGGCTCCCTGCTCAGTGGGGAGTCTGCTTCTCCCTCTGCTCCTTCCCCTGCTCATTCTCTGTCTGCCAAATAAACAAATAAAATCTTTAAAAGAGAGAGAGATGACTTTGGCTAGTTAGAGCTTTTTGTGGTTCCACAGAAATTTTAGGATTATTTGGTCTATTTCTTGAGAAAATGCCATTGGAAGTTTGATAGGGTTTGCACGGACTCCAGGTGGCTCTGGCTGCTGTGGACATGGTGACGGCAGCAGTTCTGCCGGCCCGTGAGCGCGGAACATCTTCCCGTTCGTCTGTGTCTTCCGTCTCTTTCCTCGTGGTTTCCTGATCACAGGGTACAGGTCTCTACCTCCTTGGTTAGATTTATTCCGTCATATTTTTTCAGGGCAGTTGTAAGTGGGATTGCTTTCTTATTTTTCTTACTGATAGCTCATTATTTATAAAAGGAACAGATTTCTGCACAGGCATACCTTGTTTTATTGTGTTTTGCAGGTAATGCTTGCTTGCTTGCTTGCTTGCTTTTTTTTAAGCAATTTGAAGATTTGTGGCATCTCTGCCTTAAAAGCAAGTCTCTCGGGGCCATTTTTCCAACAGTATTTGCTCACTTTTTGTCTCTGTCACATTTAATAGTTCTTGGCAACATTTTAAATTTTTCCATTATTTCTTACTATATTGATCTGGGATCCGTGATCATGACTCGCTGAACGCTGTACATTGGCTTTTTAGACACGTTACCGCACACTTAGTGGTCGGCAGGCCTCGTGTCGTCACATACCTAACACGCACTGGGAAAGCACACAGTTCAGCTGCCTCGCTGTGCCGTGGCATTTGCTTGACCGCAGCGGTCTGAAACCGAACCTGCAAGTTATGTCTCCCGAGTTGTGCCCTACTCAAATTTACTGAATTTGTTTACTGATTTTTTTTTTTTTTTTAAGTTTGAAAGGTACATTTTTCTTTCCTACTCAACATACTTAATCCTATATAATCTTTTGTCCTGGTTATAAAAGAAATTTATGCTATAATTTAAAAATGAAAAAAAGGAGGAAAAAAGAAATTCATATCCATCATAGAGATTTTGGAAAATATAAAAAAGTGGAAAGGGCAAAACTCTTCTACCCAGAATTCACCAGTGTAACTATTTAAGTTTGTTTACTTCCAGCTGTGTGTGTGTGTGTTTAAGATTTTATTTGACAGAGACACAGTGGGAGAGGGAACACAAGCAGGGGCAGTGGGAGAGGGAAACGCAGGCTTCCTTCCCGCTGAGGAGGGAACCTGATGCGGGGTTCTGTCCTAGGACCCTGGGATCATGACCTGAGCCGAAGGCAGATGCTCAATGACTGAGCCACCCAGGCACCCCCGGGGGTGTGTGTTTTATAAATTAACATAATATTCTATATACGTTATATCCTTAAATATTGTTTGAGGACATGTTTTTATAGAGCTGCTTAGTATTCTATCATCTGATTATGGCATTTTTAGTCTTCTGGTGGATATTCATATTCATTTTTCTCATTATTTTAAGTCTGTCAGTTATATATAAATATTGGTGTACCTTTAAAATTTTTAGAAGTTTTTTTTTTTTTTTTAAGATTTATTTGTTAGAGCGCATGTGCTCAAGAGAGAATATGGCGTGGAGAGGAAGAAGCAGGCTCCCCCCTAAGCTGGGATCCTATGTGGGGCTCAATCCTAGTACCCCAGGATCATGACCTAAGCTAAAGGCAGACACTTAACAGACTGAGCCCTCCAGGCACCCCTAAGTTCTTTTTATATTAAAATACGTACTTGTACATGTGAAAAGACATGAGTAACTCTTAAAAAATAACTGAATTTATAAATTGTGGAACAATTAACATAAAACGTATTTTTGAGACTAAGCAGCAAACATCCATACAGCTTGGATGCATTTTGCTGTCTGAAAAAAAGCCCTGTACAAAAGACCTATTGTACGATTCCGTTTATATGACCTTCTAGAAAAGACAGAAGCATATGATGACAAAGCATACTAGTGGTTGTCTGGGCTTGGGGTGGGATTGATGGACACGGGACACAGGGAGCTTCCTGGGGGTGATGGAAATGCCCTGCATCTTGGGGGTGGTGCTGGGAGTTCTGTGCCTTTGTCAGAACCCATCGTACACTTAGAGTGGGAGGTTTTGCTGTGTATACCTCAGTGAGGCTCGTTTAAAAATACACAGCTCTGTAACCACGTGGAGAGAGAGAGAGTAGTCAGCGCCTTCGAAATTCCCCACGCAACCTCTCCTTTCCTGTCCACGGATCATCACCGTCCTGATCGGTGCGAAAGTTCCTCCTTTGCTTTAAAAAGTAGTTGTACCGCCTATATGCAGGTCTCCACAGAATAGTTTGGATTTGTATGGTTTTGAAATTTTATTTCTATTTTTTTGAAGTTTATAGAGCTAGAATAGTACTTAATTGTTATTTTGTGACTTCCCTCTTTTGGTCCACATTATGTTCGATGTCTGTAGGACGTGGTTCTGTCCGTTCTGATTACATTCTGTCCTGTATTGATCACAAATGGTCTGTGTCACTGGCGATGCATGGCGGTTGTGTGGGCCCTCTCCGGGTGTAGATCACGGCGTGTGCATGTGCTCCTTCTACAGAGCGGCTGTGCGAGTGTATGCTCGCCCACAGTGTATGTGAGTTCACCACGCTCCACATTCTCACCAACAGTTTATCTCAGATGTAAGAGATTTTTGCTGGTCCGACTGGTGTGTGGTGATGTTCCATCGTGGTTTAATTTGCATGTCCATGATTGCTAATGAAGTCGGGTCTCTTTCCACGTATTATTGGCTGTATTTCCGCTTTTGTTCTTTCTGGCCATTTTTCTCTTGGGTCACTGGTTTCTGAACACGTGTGTTCTGTAATTGGTTCTTTTGTGGCTCCAAGTAGGTGTCACGAATATGCTCTCCCATTCCTTGATGCGTTTTTGTATTTTCCTGGAGTCCTGTCTTCAGGTCACCATTTCTTAATTTTAACACTAATTTGTCAGTCTTCTCATTTATGGTTTTTGGATTTTTGTTTCTTATTTAAGAAATCTTTCTATGCGGCACCTGGGAGGCTGTCGGTTGAGCATCAGCCTTCGGCTCAGGTCTGATCCCAGGGTCCTGGGACTGAGCCCTGCACCAGGCTCCCTGTTCACTGGGGAGCCTGCTGCTTCCCCTGCCTGTGCTGACAAATCTTTAAAACAAACAAAAACCTTTCTATGTTCTAAGGATATGGAGCTTGTTTCCTTTATTCTAACAGCTTTTAGTCTGCCCTTTCAACTTTATGTAGGTCTGTAATCTGTGTAATTGTTTCTGTGTGGTGTGAGGGAGGGATCCAGTTTCATCCCCCGCCCCCAACACGCCGCTTTATCTTAGCCCTTCCCCTACTGCTAACACGAAGTATTGGCATCTAGTAGTGCAAATCCCTGTGCCTTTTACTTTTGAAAGACCATGTTGGCTCTTAGCCCTTGACACCTCCATGCCAATTTTAGAATCAATTTTGCAAGTTCCGTAAACAGATTAGAATTCTTTCAGCTGCCTTTATTTTCTAGTTCAGTTTGGAGGTAACTGACAGATGCTGAGTTTTCCCACCTTTGAACATGAAATCAGTTTTCAGATATTCAGGGCCTCTTTAATTTTAGTATCTTTTAAGTTTTATGATTTTCTCCAGTCTTACACATCTTTTGCTGACATATATCAATCTCATAGAAATTTGTTTCGATCTTATATCCCACAGCCTTGTTAGACTTGCTTATTATAATTCATCCACAGAGTGATTGATTGTTGTTTTTTGTTTGTTTGTTTGTTTTTTACTGTGTAAACTAATTTCATGTATCACAACTTTGTCTTTTGGCGCTGATAGGATCACCATTAAGATGTCCTGTGTCCCTTTGTAGTTGATCCCTTCCACCCATCCCCAAGTGCACAAGGACCTTTTTTGTCACTATAGTTTTGCCTTTCTCAGAATGTCCTATACATGGAATCCTACACAATATGCAGGATTGTGTTGCATTTTCTTTTACTCACTAAGATGCATCCAGGTTACGAGGATGCTTGCTTTATTCATAAGTGTATGATCTTCAGTGTCGGTATGTCTTAATCAAGCAAGCTTCAGATTCTCAAATCTGTGAGGGCCTCATCACACGTGACTGCCTCTGCTCTCCCACTTTCAGAGCCTCCTGCCAGCATCGTGCCCCCTTGCTCTCATTTTGCATCTCCAACCTCTCATTTCATACCTCTATATCTCTGCTTTTCGTGCTACGATTTGGATAGTTCTTTAGATGTGTTTACTAATTAACTGATTCTTCAGTGCTTATGATGATGTTAAAACTGTTGCCTTATGATGGAATTTTCGTATACAAAAATTAAAAATTCGAACCTAAGTAAAGAGAATAGTGTAATAAGCCACCATTTCATCAGCTTCAGTCATTTTGTTAACTTGACCAATCTTCATGTACCCCACCGTACCCCCCGTAGATCCCCATGGCTGGAGTGCTTTGAAGCAAGTGAGACCTGTCGTTTCATCTGTAGATATCCTAATATGTGTGTAAAGCATAGAGCACTTAAAATTTGATTCCAGTATGTTCGCCCAAATATCTTATGTTTTACAGTAGATTTCTTTAAATTCCAAACAGGGTTCTCGGATTGGATATAGTGCATTCGTCTTGGAACTGTATTTTTGTTCTTAAATCAAATTTAATGGCATCTATACAGGGGATCCATAGATATGGAAGTTCTGTAATTCTCCTCTAATGTAGAGATAGTTCAGTTCCCGCTTTATTTCTGAAACCAGGTTAGTTCTAGAGAATCTGCATTCCGGATTTCTCTTGGATAGTCACTGTGTCATTTAACATGTTCCTCTGTACTGTTGGCTGGATGTCCTAGAAAATGGTAATCATGTCTAGGAATTTGATCGATTCAGGGTTGGTCTGTTTTTTTAAGATTTTATTTCTCTGACAGAGAAACAGTGAGGGAACACAGGGGGAGTGGGAGAGGGAGAAGCAGGCTTCCCACCAAGCAGGGAGCCTAATGCAGGGCTCGATCCCAGGACCCTGGGATTATGACCAGAGCCGGAGGCAGATGCTTAACAACCGAGCCACCCAAGCGCCCCTCAGGGTCAATTTTTTGACAACAGTATGTGGTGGCCATGGCATGTGGTTCCTGCTGCACCGCGTCGGGAGGCACATGTCTGCTGGTCTCTGTAACGTCGGCAGTACTAATTGATAGATACGTGTTCTAGTAGAGGCTGCAAAATGCTGATAGTCTGTCATTCTTTCTGCATTCAGTAGCTGAAGATTAGAAAGAACTTTTCTTCCAAGTAGTCGGTTACTCTGGTCTGTTATTTCTCACCACGTAAGCAGGAGACACATGAATGCGTGAGTCTTTCCCTTTATTTAGCCGCGTTCTGAGTAGTGAATTGGTGTTCAGCAGTGTCCAGAGGCGGACAGGAATTGTTTTCAGCTATCTCAGTCCCTTGCAGTTATGCTTTCGTGTTCACACTGTCTTGTCTTTGGCCCGCGGGAATCCCTTCCAACTAGGCTTCTCTGACACAACGCTGGGGGTCTGACAGTTGTTTTCTGGCACTAGAGAGTGTTTGCAGGTTTTAAACGCTGTGCCGGTACGCGGACTCCACCGTTTCTCCACGTAGTGTTGACTGTTCCGAGTGGGAAATGGTATTTAGAGACTATAAGCCAGACCCCAGGTGTCTCTTCACCACCAGGCAGGTCACGGTTTCTAGGCCTTTCCCGCGGGTTGAGGTTGGAAATGGTCATTACTTCAAAGAGAAAATGTGTCTTTAGTTCACATTGACACTTTCAACTTAAAGATCAGGGTTTGTACTGAAATTACGTGATGATATACTTGGTGTTTAATCTGCCCACAGCCACGCGTGCGCACACGCGCGCACGGACTGGGGGTCAGTTTCAGGATGACCGCCGCAGGCAGCGCGGGGTCTTTTTGCAGCTGCTTCAGTTCTTACGTGATAGCCGCGCTAGGGACGTGCAGCCACGTTTCTGTTGCTGCCGTCACTTGACGTAATTCTTCTGGTAGTAGCACTGTTAGGCGTGTTTGTTTCATTTGGCTTTTGATTTTAGGAATTGCTTTTGTTTTCATTTTTACGGTTCTATAAAACAATGACATGGTTCCACAGACAACTCTAAACAAGGTACATTCAGAAATCTTCCTTTCTCGGGGCGCCTGGGCGGCTCAGATGGCTCAGCGGCCGCCTTCGGCTCAGGCCATGATCCCAGTGTCCTGGGGTCGAGCCCCACATCGGGCTCCCTGCTCAGTGGGGAGTCTGTGTCTCCCTCTCCCACAGCTCATACTCTCTAAGTAAAATCTTCTAAAAAACAAGAAGCAGTCTCCCTTTCTCTGTCCTTCTTCCCTCAAGTAGGTATTAGGTTTTGACTTAGCTTTCCATTATCCTCACTTAGTTCTGTGTGAGAGAAGGTGTGTATCTTTCCATCCCTCCGCCTCCTGGGTAAAGGCAGCGTCCGCCTGACACCGTGTGTCCAGCTCTTCTGACTTGGCCACACATCCCGAGGTCGCCCCACAGGGCAGCCGTGAAGGACTCGGTGCTCTGCGGGCGGGCCGTGGTGTGTGCCCTGAACTGTTCTCCACAAACAGCCCTTCGCGTTCCCAGCCTCTGCTGTGACGAGCAGTGAGAGCTGCGGCGAAGAGCCTTTTGCCTCTTTCTACCACCGGCCCAGTGCGTGTCTGCGAGTCCCCCGAGCGGGGCTGCTGGGTCATAGGACATGAGCACAGGCGTGATCTGCCGTCTTGATCTGACTGTGGAGGTTGTGGCTTTCCTAGAATCTGGCATATAAGTTACTCTGATCAGAGTATGTCTGTTTTACTTCTCATTCCTTTTAAAGGGAAGAGAACAGTTTTATTCTCTGAAAACTTTCCTCACTGACCTGGCAGAGTAACTTGATTTCTCTTTGGAGTTCTTTGCGGGCAATATAATCCTAAAACCTAATTTCTGTTTTTTCTGAAATTTCAGCAAATCCCTTTACGAATACTCTAAGACCTTCATTGTGTCACTCGTCCTCGGCAAGGATGTCATTCCCCGGTGAGTCCTCTGGATGCTCCGTCTGGGCTCGGGGCGGCCGAGACACCGGGTCCTGAGCCTCCATCTGGTCTTTTGCCGAATAGGTTAAGTGTGACTAACCTGGAAGACCTGAAGAAGAGAATTTTGCGAGTGATCGCTCACTGCAACAAGCCCAAGGTAAGTGGGGGGCCTGTGAGCGCATCTGGGGGGCCCGAGGCTGGACAGGCCACGGGGAGGTGCTTCCAGCTCCTGAGCCTCTTCGACCAGGGCCTTGGATGCTGTTGCCTGGAGCGCTTTGCCCTCCGTATGGACTTGGGTCTGGCGTCCCACAGGCGATGCCGAAGGCGGTACACGCTCGGTCACGGGCTGCCCCAGTGAGAACCCTCCAGTAGAACCTTCCCTGGCCTGCTGAGGGGACTTGCTATCTGTCGTACTTTGTTAGCCTGTCTTGTGACCAATAGTATTTTGATGCTTTTGGTCCCGACACTGAGAAAACAAATCTGCCAAACAGAGTTTAAGAAGTCCAAGTACAGGTATACCGGGGACTGCTGCAGTCGTTAACAGTGGTGGCCGGAGGTTATGTTTACCACTAGAGAAAGAGAGCCATGGCGTAGTGAAAAGTATTTTAAAGGGCAGATTTAAAAATGATTCTGCGGGGATATATCCCCTAAGGCAGCGGATATAAAGTTTTTAGAAGGGATTTTCACTTTTTAACCGGTTTTCTGACATTTTTTGTTGTTGCTCCTCAAAAAAATTTATTTAAAATAAGCTTCTCCTTACCAACTGCTCCCCACTCAGAGTTCTAAAAAAAATTAATGAATGGCACGAAGGGAAAGAGTAAAGTTGGTTGGCAGAACTGTCAGAGAAGAATGAAGAGTGATTTTCTTCCGAGTCGGCAGGGTTTGGTTTCTCCGTGCTGCTTCCTGTTTGATGTGGCTTCATGGCCCAAGAGACACAGGAGTTGAGGCCCCTGACATTCCTGCCCCTAAGATCCAGGATTTAGAGAGACGGCCGGTCTGAGCTCTGAGGGTCACTGTCCCCCAGCACGAGCTTCTGGGGCCGAGGTCCGAGCAACCAGCAGGCTGCCTTCTCGGGTCTGTCCACCAGTACCAGATCCTGCTGCACGGGTGCTGGTATGAGCTGTTCGGAGGAAGCCCGGATAACTTTCCCACGGAGCTGGACGGGGGCACCCAGGGAGACCTGACGCAGCCGCTTCTGGGGGAGCAGAGCCTTCTGTCGCACGGGTCCCCGACCTACAGCTTCTCCAGCGACTCCCCCTTGGAGTCCCCCACCAAGTACCCCCATCTCTACCCTCCCGGCAGAATCATCCACCTGGAGGAAGAAGGCACTGCAGGGAGGTGAGTGCGGGCAGCGCGGGCAGCGCGGGCACGGAGCTGCCGGGGCTCGGTCCACACAGATCGGAAACTCTACGCACAGGTTTTAGCCTAAAGGGCCGCTCAGCTAGTTCACCTCTGTCTTTCCCAGGTTTTGGCGTTCTGCTGCTCGGTACAGCGCGAGGTGGTCCCACGAATCACAGTTCAGCAAAATACTCATCGGCCCCAAGATGTTGACAGACCACATGCCGGACATCCTGATGAAAGCCTTGGACAGCGTGGTGTCGGGCCGGGCCGGCTACGCCTTCTGCCCAGCTGGAGGCGGCTCAAACGTGGATGTGGTGTAACTGGGGCTCACGCAAGCTGCTGCAGGACGAGACTCCCGCTTCTGTTCTTAACCGACAAAAATCAGAGGGATTCCCCCGATGCCGGCACCTCGGATGTCCACTGGTAGGAACTGGAGGGTCCTCTAAATCACTGGCTAATTCGGGAAGTCGTTCTGAGCCCAGTATTAGCACAGCCAGTTGTCAGGAGAGCACGGAGAGCACAGGGCAATTCCTTAGTGATCTGAGAACTGTCCCAGGAAAGGGTGGGAGTCCAAGACCAGGTGTTAAGATGCGTTCCCCCCTCTGATGCCACCTCTTCACTGATGGGGTCTTCAGGGTCTCACCACTGTTGAGTCTGAACCAGGCATACGGATGTGCAGTTTACTTTGCAGACGGGATTGTCCCGGCTGCACACACCCGTACACGCCATTGTCGGGGCACAAACAGGCTTTCTCCCGGGTGGCCCCGAGGTCGGGCTGGGAATTAGGCCCCTGCCCCTGCGCGCGCCAGGCTCCACATCAAGCGGACTGCTTCATTTGCACGCGATGTACTGGCTTTTGGAGGGCAGCCGGCGGATTCAGAGGGAGTTAATAAAGCACTTACATGTGTCATTCATGTCTGGACAGTGATGTATTCATCCACTGGCTGTTTCCAAGAAGGTCCTTTTTACCGGCTGGTTGTATAGCAATCCTGTTTTAAAAGTTTTGTCTACTGTAAACAACAAAAATGAAGCCTTAAGCTTTCTTGGAGCTCTGGGCTAAAGGGTGAAGATCACACAGGCATCTGATTTAACCCTACCGAAGTGCCAGGAAATGACACTAAATAGATCTCTTTAAAAAGCAAAAATCCCGGGGCGCCCGGGTGGCTCAGCGGGTTAAGCCGCTGCCTTCGGCTCAGGTCATGATCTCAGGGTCCTGGGATCGAGCCCCGCATCGGGCTCTCTGCTCAGCAGGGAGCCTGCTTCCCTTCCTCTCTCTCTGCCTACTTGTGATCTCTGTCAAATAAATAAATAAAATCTTAAAAAAAAAAAAACAAAAATCCCTAAGGATGGGGAAAGAAGAAAAGGAACGTGGGTTGACTAGAGGTAAACAGACTCCCACACGGAGGAAGGGCCCAGCTACCCTGGCTTACAACTCTGCCTCCCCCCGCCCCAAAGCGCAGCAGGGAATCAGGAAGTCTGGCCCTTGGTTTGCTCTGGGGGAGTGGCCCGGATATCAGGGCAGTGGGAGGCAAGGGGATGACACTCCTCAGCTTCTCACACTTGGAGAAGATGCCAGAACCCCCCCCTGAAGATTGTCGAGGGCAACCTGACCTCTGGAGACCCCTCCCTCGGGGCCTCTCAGCCCTCACACCAATACCACCTTAGTCTCTGAGTACCTGCAAAGGCCATTTTAAAAAACTGTGATTGAAATGCGACTGTTCAGCTGCTACAAGTTTCGCTTCTAAACACAATTCCTGTACGTTCCTAGTGGCAGGAAGCTCAAAGATCTTAGACACCCCTTGACACTACGTGCAGTGCCATTTCCAATGTGCCTCCCCCTTCCTTAAGATGTACTTATTTTAGAGCAAGCATGAGGAGGAGGGGTGGAGGGAGAGAGAATCCCAAGCAGACCATGCTGAGCGTGGAACCTGACGCAGGGCCTCACTCCTAGGATCCTGAGATCATGACCTGAGCCGAAACCGAGAGTCAGACCCTTAAGCACCTGCACCCCCAGGCGCCCCTACAATCTGCTTCTGCGGACTCTGAACCTTTAAGCACTGGCCAAGGCCTGGCGGGCACACTCGGAACATGGGACCAGAAGAGACTACTTAGATGTAGAGCTTGGGAACAGAGAAAGTGTTGCAACCACAAAACTTATGCCGAGACTGGAAAGTGGAGAATAAAGTAGAAGCACGACAGGTGGAAGTCCAGAGCTTGTGGGAGGCACACAGCTATGGCAGCACACGGAGCCACCCAAGCACAAAGGAGAAAAGCAGACCAGGACATGCAAGCCAGGGTGACAGTCCCACAGAACCTGTCAACAAAAATTCACCCCACACAACAGAAATGGCCAAGGAGGACCCAACAGAGCTGCCTTCCAAACTGAGGGGAACTGATCTCCACCCTGGGATTTCCAACCAGCCAGAAAAGACCAGGAGAGAACGAAGTTATTTTCAAAGACACAAGGGCTGAGAAACAGATTACCACACACTTCTTACTCGGGAAGCTCTGGGAGGTGGTGGTCAAGACGAAGCAAAAAGGAGTCGGGGCACCTGGCTGGCTCAGTTGAGAAGTGTGTGACTCCTGACCTCAGGGTCATGAGTTCGAGCCCCACACTGGCCCTGGGGATTATACTAAAGATCAATACATCAGGCAATGGTGGCCCGAGGATTCTGAGACTTTAGGAAAATGAAAATCAGTAAAACACGTAATACATGCCGCCATCTTGAGAGATTTAGCCTGCAGATGGAGGTTCGCTTGAATCATGAAGTGCACAGGAAATGAAGCAAATCAAGTACAAATGATCCCTGACAAAAAACAAGAAGTTGTGCAGCCAAATTCTGTTATTCCAGGACTGAGCTAGGAATATTCACACGGTCACAGACACTAAATAGCGACCCCCAACCCAAATCATTCTCTTGAGGGAATGGGAAACAGTGTGTTGGGGGGGGGGGCTGCCATGCACAAGAGTATCTGTGGTAACAGCTGAAAATGAAAAATGCAGCCAGCAATCAAGTGATTTAGCCAGACCCCTGGGGAGGGGAGGGGCTGAGACTGAATCAGATCAAGTGCCATTTAGTGAGCCGGACTGTGCAGCAAAGCCTGCGGGATAAAACCCAAAAACGGGGGGTAGGGGGGTATAGCTTGCAGGTGGGTGAGCAGGTGGAGATTTGGGGAGGGGGCTCTTGGAGAGGGCGTGGAGGCTCCGTACCCCTCCCCCATACCTGGCCCTAGGCCGCTCTTCCATCTGGCTGTTCACATTCTATCCTTTCATAACTGGTGATCTAATAGGTAAAAAAAAAAAATCACTTCGGCATATGGAGATAACAAAGATGAGTTAAAAGGACTGAAACTGGTTGCTTTTAGAAAGGGTGTGAAGGGAGAAGGCTGCTGTTTTTGTAGTAAGCCTTTAGAACTCCACGGTCTTTAAACTGCCTATCTTTAAAAAATACTCAAAAATAATCTTCAGGTTAATAAAAAGGATAATTTAGAAAATTGATTCTAACATGACAAGTTCATAGTACAGTTTCAGGCTCTAGAAAGGATCTTAATTAATTAGATTGATTAGAAACCAGCCTCCTCCCTATCTCCCAACATCTGCCTCTTCAGCCCAGAGCTCTGGCCTAAGCTGTGCACGCACAAGCCCCAGTGTGGACGTCACCATCTCCCCAGCATCTGACAAGTGCAAAACCCAGCGTGCCCCCCAGCACCAGTGCTTGCAGACTCCTCCAGCTCCTCCCCGTCCCCCCCGCAAGAAAAACAAGCCCTAGGAATGAAGGTTTCCCGTGGCCCAAGATTTTTAGGTGAGACAAGGAACACATACCCCAGGAGGTTGTTCGAGCTCTCAAGAATTCAAGTATTACAGTCATATGATTCAAGGATTTATTAAGTCATACATGCAAAACATACTGCTAATTGCATTAGCAAAAGATCAATGTAAAAACACTCCACGATTCTGCAACTGTCAATTTAAAAAAATGTTGTTCTAGTGGTTGAGAGGTCCAACCTTATATTCTTGCCAGCGGGTAAGCTGTACAGAACTTGATTAGCACGAGCACGGGCTCACGGAACCCCACAGACCCGAGGGGACGTGGTCAGGCAGAGCGAGAGGTGTGTGTCCAGAGGGGTGAGGCAGAAGGGAGGGCCAGCGTTAGTCAGGGTACAGTACTGGTGATCTGGCAAGACAGTGATGTTAAGAAAGTTCATAGTTTAGGAATATCTAAAATATTTCAAAAACTGTAAAGCTGCAACACATGATTTTTACACCTAGTTACTAGAAAACTAAGGAAAGCGCTTATTAGCTCTGAATAAAGTAACAAGGAAACAGGAATGCACTTTTACTAATCTACAAAAAAAATTTCTAATGCATTATCAGAAAGATTTTATAATACAAGGAGGCATATTGCTCATTAAGAAGGGGTTCTATAAGAAAAGCGCTAAGTGAGCAACTATGGGAACGACCAGTTCAAAGATGAATTAAATGCCCAATTTCAGGAGGGATGGTAGGTCTAAGAAAAAAGGAAAAGTTTAAAACACTTAGTGATAATACCGACCTTTCTTCATCTTTTACTGCACTGGACAGAAATTAACCTTTAATGTTTTTACCCGTGACACTTTTACTCAGTTTAATTAGGACATGTACAATGTAGTGTAAATTAACCTCCGTATTTTGTCAAAATACTGTCTTCATTCTTTGATCGCATTACGTGCTGCGCACCCCCGGCCCGGGCACCCGCAGCTGGAGCGGACACATGGCCCGAGGGATGTAGGAGGAAGAGCTCTGTTCAAAATCTCAGCAAAAGCGAATACACTAACTTTTTCAAAAAAAGTCTCACTACAAAATCTAAGAGAGGGGCCTGAAGAGTTGAGTCACTACACTCACTGCATGAGGACGTACAGTACAGTGTTGGCGGGTGGCGCTGGGTTAGAGGGTGGCGGGGCGGCAGCCCAGGAGCGAGGCTGGGCCGCTCTCCTACCACAAATGAGCGTGCGTCTGCGGGTGCAAACCGGGGACGCCGGCTCTCCTGAAAGACACAGGTCTTGAACGGTTTAGTGCTTAGTGTTCTCAGCACAACAGCGCAACTTAGTTCACAAGGTATTTTGGCAACTCTTAAACTGAGCAAGAATAGGGGCTTTTGAAAAATAAGGCTTTAAGAAAGCTTCCCATTTTAGGGCTAAATTTTAATATAGTGTGAAAGTTTGAAGTCTTACACTTTAAACAAACAAAACCTAAAAATTACTGATTGGTTCAAAATGGTTTTTATGGAAAAACTAATCTGTAACAAAAACTTGGCATTGAGTGCGAAGGCTCCACCATTTTTGAGCAAAGCGTACAAAGGTTCTGAGGGGGACAGGGCGGGGTGGGGGGAGCGGGCGGACATTTACAACAGCAGGCATTTTCTCTTCCTCTTCTTGACGGGAGGGGGGCAGAGAACCGCTCGGATCGCTTCGTCAAACACTGTCTTGAGGCCTCGCTGCGTGAGCGCTGAGCACTCCAGGTATTTTACCGCACCTGCCGAGAAACACAGCCTCGTACCGCCAGGGGGCCACAGCCCGCCAGGCACGCACCTGCCCTTCCAGCCACCTCGAGGGCAGGGAGCGGCTCCCCAGGCCCTGCCTCCTGCCAGCCCGCCAGGAGCAGCAGAGCGACACCTGACCTGCGCCCCAGCTCCTGAAGGCTCACCCAGAGGGCCTTGCCTGGCTGGCTCCCCAGAGGACAACAGAGCTGGAGTCGGAAAGACTTGCGCTCTCCTTGCCCAGACTGGACTCCCATCTCCGCCACAGAAATAAAGGCACAGACAAAGCAGATGTGACAACGCAGGTGTCCTACCGATCTCCTTAGCCATGGCCAGACCCTGCGGGTAGGTGATAGGAGTCAGCTTCTTTTCCTTCAGCTTCTCGATCGTGTCTTTGTCGTCCCTGAGATCAAGTTTAGTCCCCACCAAGATGATGGGGGTGTTGGGACAGTGGTGTCGCACTTCGGGGTACCACTAAAAGCGAGAGAGGGAAGAAAAGTGACGACACGCTCCCTCCCTAAAGAGCATCCGCCGCCTAAATTCCACTTCCACGAGCGCCAAACTGCGTCAGCCACCCTGCCCTCCAGCCCCGCTCACCCCCTTGCAATACCTTCCAGAACCACGGGCCCACCTATCGGCATTCGGTTAGCAAGCTGGGCGCCCAAGACCGACGAGCCTACAGCAGAGGCTCTGCTCACCAACAAGAGCAAGGGGGGAAGGGCCCCCTCCCAAAACAACGATCTGTTTGGTAAAATGAGTCAAGTTCTTAGATCATCTCCAAGAATCCTTCCTATTCAGCGAAGAGTCAACTAGGTGGAGGTCTAAGCTCTGCCACCCTGTCCCCCTCTGAACACATTCCGGATCCCAACTGAAGGACATCCTGCCCCATCATGTTTCACTAGGAAGTATGTGAGATCCAGGAGTGCAAAGTCATGGTCACCATTCTTATTAGATGACCCCACCAGACGGAACTCCAAAGTGCTCATTATTTTAACAAGGCACACAGCATTTCTTAATCAGACCCTGAAACTTTAGGACTCTACATAATAAAGTCAGAATTACAAGATCAATTTAAATAATTAAGACTCCTTTCACTAAATAGTATTTTTGCCTCCTGAGAATGGAATGACATTATGAACCAAAATGTTTCTCTAAAACATCCCCACTTACCTTTGCTCGAACATTTTCAAATGATGCAGGACTCACAAGAGAAAAGCAAATTAAGAATACATCCTACAAAAAGGAAATAGGGAGGCGTTTAGAAATGGTCTTACGATGACGAATGCACTTTGCTTTGTAAATGCTGTTGGGAATCAATCAGACAAAACGCGTATTATGTACCAGGAGCTTGTGTCTAAAGCTCACTCCCCGGTTTCCCCTTCAATTCTGTCAGAAGGCTCCCAAAGCGGAGCCAGCACACAAAGCAGCCAGTTACTTGTGAGAGGAGGGGAGAAGATTTACTGGAATGTGCTAGAATTTACTGAATCCAGGGAGGCCTCAAACCAGACCCCGAGAGGCTTCTTTAACATCATTCCCAACTCCCACTGAGAACTTAATGGCCCCATTTATATACCGGGACAAAACCAAGTGTCAAGATACCACTCCGGGATTTCTGTACAATGTGGTCTCAGTTTATCAAAAAACAGTCTATTTTAAAACCATTTATCCCGGGGCGCCTGGGTGGCTCAGTGGGTTGGGCCGCTGCCTTCGGCTCAGGTCATGATCTCAGGGTCCTGGGATCGAGTCCCGCGTCGGGCTCTCTGCTCGGCGGGGAGCCTGCTTCCTCCTCTCTCTCTGCCTGCCTCTCTGCCTGCTTGTGATCTCTCTCTGTCAAATAAATAAATAAAAAATCTTAAAAAAAAAAAAAAAAAAAATACCATTTATCCCTGGCACGCTTTTCCGTAAGCTCCCCATGTGCATGTTCAGTGGTTTGGTTACCACTGGGCTGCTATTAAACCGCTTCCTTAAGAACTGCCCCCAGAGGGCGCCTGGGTGGCTCAGTGGGTTAAGCCACTGCCTTCGGCTCAGGTCATGATCCCAGGGTCCTGGGATCGAGTCCCGCATCGGGCTCTCTGCTCAGCAGGGAGCCTGCTTCCCTCTCTCTCTCTCTCTGCCTGCCTCTGTCTACTGTGATCTCTCTCTGTCAAATAAATAAATAAAATCTTAAAAAAAAAAAAGAACTGCCCCCAGAGTCCCTGGCACAAAGTGGGGCACGGCTGGTAGCTCTGCGAGCACACCCCACCATGCAGGAGGACGCTCTGGCCCGTGAGGGGCGTCTTCCCGGCTGGCGGCTCCTCAAGCCCACGCAGGGTCTCTGGAGGACTTGCAGGCGGGGCCGTCGCGGCCGAAGCAGAGATTCAAAGGAAAGGTCAGTGCTGAGGAAGTACCTGGAAGAATTTCTGACTGACTGTAAGCCATACGTCATTCTGTACTGTGTAAAAAGTCGAATTTAAATATTTACCTGTATTTAAAATTGCCTAAGAGTTTCTAAAATGCTAGGTTTTTAAGACATTTTCCTGGAAAAAGGCCACTATGCTGCTTTGTGAAATGTACCCAGTTCCCAAGCTAACACTTGCAATCATCCTGCTGGTATCTTGTACCTGGAAAGGGAGAGAAACATCCCACACAACAGCTTTTTATAAACGACATTTTAAAAACGCTAGCGCATGCACCGGCTTGTCCAAGAGTCACCGTGGCATCTGGGCACCTGATCACACCATTTCCAGGCGAGGCTGGGTTAGCTCACCAGCAGCACAGCCATGCCCCAGACAGGCCCGCTGCACCGGGACACCAAAGCGGGGGGAGCCCCGGCAGCCACGGTTAGTCCCACGCCGGCTCAAGCACGTGCTCCGGGGTCGGGGGGAGCCTCCACGCCTCCATCTCCAACCCGCCCGGAGAGGCCCCTTCTGAGAGCTGCTGCTTTCCCTCGGCGGGAGGGGAACAAGCAGTTCACAAACCGCTTTATGTCAAGCTAGTAGGTAGACCGTCTCGCTCTACCGAAAGCACATTTTGTCAAGCAAAACCCAACCTTGAGTGAATTAAATACAGAACACTCAAGGAACGTGAGGCTCGAGAGGAAATCCTGGGAAAACTCAGTGAAACGAGAGAACAGATAAAGCTTGAAACTGAGGTCGACTGAAGTTTTACATACGGCAATCGGCTTGTCTTTGCCCCTGGACGTTATATCCTTACCATACGTTTCTGCAACCTAGTAAAGCATGAGAACTTTGTTTCAGTTTAGTAAAAAGTGAGGAAAATAAAAGTTAATATAATCCATTATTTTTCCATCAGAATCCTGTCTCAGCCCTTCAGAAGATCTGAAAGCAGATGATCATCTAACCCCTCCGATGCCAAACCCCAAACACTCCACCGAGCCCTGTGAAGGTCAATGATGGTGGAGACACCAGGTCAGGCAAATATTGGGGGGCTGGGGGGAGCCACTCTTCTCTACCCCTGGCAGCACGCAGAGGGCTCCCTGTCCAGCAGAAGCTACAACACACCTGAGGAAGCACACGGGTCACGGCCAGTCATGAAATGTTAGCGAAGGCGTGTCCGTGGGCCGCCGCGGGCACTCCCTAGCAGCAGGCACACTCAGCAAAGGCCTCCGTCCGAGCTCTGAGACATACGCCCAGCCGAAGCCACCGCAAACGGGAGAAGCACCTGTCTGTAAAAACAGGCTTCTGAGAGGAAAGGTGCCCCGGAAGCACGGCCAGGTATGAGAGCTGTGAAGGCCTCAAGTCTCCCGTACAGAAATGCTGGGAGGGCGGTTTGAATTTGGGGTCCTGCATGACTGGAGTGAACAGCACTGCCACACTGGGACCTTTCATCCCCCCCACAAGCCCCCGCCTCTCTGGACGGGACTGCCCAGAAGGGACAGCATTTCTAGTGTTTACCACAGTGCTCTCAATTCACTCCTTTGTTCCAACAAAAATTGAAAGACTTGCTCTTCAAGCAACAAAGAAACCTGCAGTTCTTTGAAGAGACGGACAAGAGAATTGCTTTAATTTCATCTTACTCAAGCTTCTCTGATCTACAATTCTGAGAATATTAAAGTTGTTGTAACTATCCGGGTTTAATCTACAGCTGCTTTTGAAGATGTGTGCCCCCGAGGCCTTGACATGATGCCAAATCTTTGTGACACAGAGACTCATGGGCATCGGCCACGAAAATGCAGCTTCAGTTCAAAATATCCTTCAACCACATCTGTTCTGCCCCTTTCAATTTTTAAGAACATCTTTTTTGATGAAAATACACGCTTTGCATCCCACATTTAACATTGTACCATCTGCCTGTTCCTTTCTCCTCCTTCCCCCACACAAAATATGGCTTTAAAAAATACTTCCAGGGGTGCCGGGGTGGCTCAGTCAGTGAAGCATCTGACTTTCAGTTTTGACTCTGGTCATGATCTCAGGGTTGTGGGATCAAGCCCTGCATCAGGCTCTGCACTGCCTACTTAGGATTCTCTCTCCCTCTGCCCCTCCCCATCCTCTAAAACAAACCAAACAAAAAAACAAACCTAGCACTTCTAATAAATAAAAATAAATTAAAAATAAATAAAATGGGCTCCTGATACTTATCTTTTCCAGCAGCAATTCCTTCCAACCTTTACATTCTAACCCAACACCCTGCAGAGTCCGTGCAGCTCGCTATTTATGCCTGTCCTGGAGCCTCTTCATTCCACCTGAGCTGTCCTGCGTCACAGGCTCACCTTTCCTCCGGCTGGGACGCCGCCTTCCCTGTGCTGGCAGGGCACTCCTAACCACACAGGCTCCCACCGCGCCTGCAGAGACTTTATCACCGCTCCCCCTCGCTGGTCCAAACCACCGCCGCCCCCTCGTGTGTGGAGGCATCAGCAAGAGCCGGGTCAGCTCGCCGCAGAGCGGCAGTGGGTGGCGGACTCTGGGACGGCTGGCCTCTCCCAGCTCCGAATGCACCAGCACTGCTCTCTCCTCTCCTTTCTTCCAAAGGCCTTCCAAGCTGGTCTTACTTCCAGGCTTGGAACATCTTTCATGACAGGCATTCTACGAACCAGGAAAAGGAGCGGGATACACACAAGGCAAAGACATGGTGCCTGTGGCATCCATGGGGAGTGGCTAAGAAAGCAAGCACTGCAGAGAGGGGCACAGCCTGACCCCCGGGAGGCAGCGTGACGTGCAGCTCGGCCGCTGCAAGCTCCCGTGGGATGGGACAATCTCCCAGGATGCTGAGGCCAGACAACGTCCCTACTGACCAGGCTGAAATGAGACCAAAAGTGAAGAAATAAAGAGAAGACCACGGTCTTGTCTAAGCACAGATAAAGGTCACTGTGCAAACTGCAGAAACACCAAACATCCCCCTCCCCCAGCCCACGTTGGCACCAGTCACAGCTCCGGCCCCGCTTCATCCCCACCTTCTGGAGGAGATGGATTAGAGCGCCCTAAAACTACCCTGCTTCCCGCCAGCACCCCATGCAGAGCAAGCCCTGCCTCCTCAAGCCCTCATGGGAATCACGCACCCCAGAGCCTCCAAGGTGTGTGTCTAGCTAGGGACAGAGGGACAAACCCCATCTGGTTTAGCCACAGGTGCGTTCCTAGTGATGTTTGGCTGGAGGACACAGATCTGGTAACAGCCAACTCAGCAAAGTAGAAGGCTATCTGAAAATCAAAGCAGCCAAGCTAAATGCTATTGTTTTTCTTCTGACCAATGTCCAGCAGTCTAACCCTTCTCGGGCTGAGCTCAGGCAGAAGATAAGAGGCCCAGCGTGTCAGTGGCCAGCGGTCCGGTGGGGCAACGTGAGCTTCTGAAACCTGCACAGAGCTCAGGTTGTGATTCTGGCCAGTCACACAGGCTCCCACTCACACCACTAAATCCAGGAACAAGAAGGCAAATACGGTTGGCTAGACACGATGCACAGCGCTGGGCCTGAGCATCGCACGGACCACGCCGCGATGGGGAGCAGGCCACGGAAGGTGTGGGTGCAGAACTCAAGGTATTTTCGAAAAGAGAGTATAAAGGTAACTTATTCAAGGATAGAAGAGCCTAAATGATTACTTGAGAAAAACAGAACTGTGAAGGACAGTTTCTACTCCATCTTTCAGAGAATGAAGTAGGAACAGATGCCTTACACAGATCCCACTTTGCTCCCTGGAGCCAGCCCACAAACAAGGACAGCAGCGGTAAATGACCACAGGAAACAGGACGTCAGTTTCGGGGTTACAAAGCCCTAAGGAGAGGGGAGATCTGGGTAAGCAGTTGCCCATGGGCCCTTCGGGGTCCAGTCAGGGGAAAGCCACATAAACGGGCCTGCAGACCAGGTCAACAACCGGAGACCAAGTTCAGTTGGTGCCAAGTTCAGAGGGGGTCCCCTCTGGCAGCCCGGAGCCACCAGGCCTATCCCCCAGGAGCCAAGATAACCTTCTCATCCCCAAAGGAGTCCAGCAGGCACGTCTTTAACTTCCAGATCGCTGCTCTCCCCTCTTTGCTCTAAGCACCACGACAACCCCTGTGCTGGTGTGTGGTGTGTTATACCCTGTGTGGGAGGCACCTGAGCAAGAATCATGCCTTACCCCTTTTACACATCCAAGTATCTGACAGGAAAATAGCACGTTACACAGATGGGACATAAATAGTTTAGAAGTCCTGCCCCAGAAGGACCACACCCCAGCCCCTTGGCTGTCAGGCCTCATACCTTGTGGCTTGCTTCGGTCTGTTATTGGACCTACAGTTCTCTCGGTAGAGAGTGGGAATGTGGCCAAGTCACCTTTGACTTACTGTGAGTGACTCCCTCAGAGAAGAAGGCCGCACCCTGCCGGGACCCCTTGAGTCACAGGAGGTGGTTCTCATTTCTCAGAAAGGACACCCCGCCCTTCCAGATGTATCCAGTGGGTTGGAGACTCCTACTCTACCAGTCAACAGGTTAGCAAATCCACTGAAAATCCGGAATTATCAAGCACCCATTGGGGTTAGAATAGTTTCTGAAACATACTGAAGACCAAGCCATTTGGTGATTACAAGCTGCTTTTTAAAACTTTATCACAATAAATAAATAAATAATAAAACTTCCTCACAGGTCATTTTTAGCTGGAGATTAACTGAGATACCACTCACTCAGCCCTCCCATTTTATAGTTCTGGTCTTTGTCTGGGCCGCTACTGTAACTCAGCTAAAGGACAATCGCAAAAATCCACCGCTTAAAAAGATTGTATCCGGCAATTCCTCCAGGAGGAAATAAATACAAAAGACGATGACTACTGCATAGAAATGCTGTATTCAAAAGCTTAAAACTAAAGAAGGGGGGAGGGACCCCTGGGTGGCTCAGTCCATTTAGGCTCCTGAGCACCCGACTCTTGATTTTGGCTCAGGTTGTGATCTCAGGGTCATGAGACTGAGCCCCACAATGGGGGCTCTTTACTCAGTGGGGCGTCTGCGTGAAGATTCTCTCTGCCCCATCCCCCATCTGTGCACGCACAAACTAAGTTTAGGGGCACCTGGGTGGCTTGGTTGTCTGACTTTTGGTTTCAGCTCAGCTCGTGCTCTCAGGTCCTGAGATTGAGCCCTACATCAGGCTCTGTGCTGAGCACAGAGTCTGCTTAGGATTCTTTCTCTCCCTCTGCCTTCCCCTGCTCTTACCCTCTTTCTCTCTCAAATGAACAAATCTAAAAAATAAAAAATAAGTCTAAGACTATCACTACTAAATAGGAAGTTAAGTTTAAGGAAAAAAAATGGGGGTAGACTGGAAATGATTGGTTGTTTTCACCCACGCTACACGCGCCCCACGCCCACCTCCCCACCCTCCAAGACCGTGATTGTCAAATCCACCCAAGGGTCAACGCCTGCTTTCTCCAGGATGTCTCCTCGACCCTGACTCTGGTCCTCCCGGCTTGCTGAGAGCACATACAGCAACTTCCATTCACTGCGCCCCGTCCACGCTGACCTGAAGAGCTCTCCAGATCCGCGGCTCTTCACAGCACCTGCAATGCGGTGTCTGCGATGTGCCTGGACTGTTCTGGGTGCTTTACACAGACCGCTCATCTAATCCTATGAGGAAACAGCTCATGACTAGGACCGTGAAGAAACCTGCCAGGGTCACAGAGCTAGGAGGCGAGAGCACGGGATTTCAACCCGTGGAATTCACTCCACTGCCTCTAGTGTGTACTCCTTCGGCCACTGAGTCACCTGAGTCTCTTTTAAAAGTCTTTACTGTTAAAATGATGAACAAACATGTAACAAGATAAGCAAATGGTACAAATAAGACAAGTGCTTATTTTAAGAAAAGGGCTTCTAAGCGTATTTTCACCAGCTACGGACCTGACTCGCTTTGGTATATACATCATTTAGTTGTCTAGAATGGAAGCAAAGCTAATCTCAAAGTTTTTCTAACTGGACACAGTGGACATATTTTTACAAAACTGAAGATTTAGGCACTGGGCGCCGTGGCTTAGCTGGTTAAGCAACTGCCTTCGGCTCAGGTCATGGTCCCAGAGTCCCAGGATCGAGTCCCCCATCGTGCTCCCAGCTCTACAGGGAGTTTGCTTCTCCCTCTGACATTCTCCCCTCTCGTGCTCTCTCTCACTGTCTCTCTCTCAAATGAATACATAAAATCTTTTTTTTAAATATAATTTTTTTAAAGATTTTATTTATTTATTTGACACAGAGAAAGAGAGATCACAGGTAGGCAGAGAGGCAGGCAGAGAGGGAGGGGGAAGCAGGCTCCCCGCTGAGCAGGGAGCCCAATGTGGGGCTCGATCCTAGGACACTGCGATCATGACCGGAGCCAAAGGCAGCCGCTTAACCAACTGAGCAACCCAGGTGCCCCAATACATAAAATCTTAAAAAAAAAAAAAAAAAAAAAAAAAATGACGACTTAGGTACTAAAGCCATAGAAAGAAGAGCATGTGTTTTATAGAAAAGTTATATTAAACCCAAAGACAAGTCATTAACTTGATTTTTAAAAGCTCCGTGGTACCAAACTGTCACAAAACAAATTGACCTTGCAACTAATTCCTACTGAAACCGGTCTGCAAGAATAACACAGGACCTATTTCATACGGTGGTCCTGAAATTGAGATGAGAGCAGACAAACACAGGGCACCACACTCAGTAAACAGACAAATCCTTGGTCTGCATCTAGGACATTCAACTACTGAACTTAACCGTGCTACTACTTAATACGCCCAAAAGATGGCAGTACGGCTGCCCTTGAACAACGCAGGAGGGTAGGGGCACTGCCGCGCCCCCCCATGCAGCCAAAAATTCCAGGTATTACTCTGACTCCCTGAAAACTTTTTAATAAAACACCTGCTGTTGACTGAAGTCTTACTGATAAAGTGACCAGTCCACTAATATATGTTCTGCA